TTATCCGATATTAATGTGATAGAAGATTGGGCACTTATACAAACATCTTTACAAGAATCATCATCTATTTTAGATGAAACTGAAATTGATGAAGATAGTGATAGATCAGATAATGAAGATGATACGAATAATTTAGTACTGTTGTCAAAAGGTGACTATTTTCCAGACGAAGCAATTGATTGTGATAAAAATGGCGTTTAAGTAAAGTAATATTTTTATTGTTTTCCTTTTTTTTATTTTGTTTAAGAATAAAACGAATACATAAAGTTTATCTTTAATTTTATTTTACTTTTCGAAGGTGTCTGATAGTTTTTATAGAAATTCTTTCCTTTTTTTCATTATTATTTAATGCTTCTTCGATAAATATTTATCTTTAATCTTATCATTTTTTTCGTAGTTAGCTATTAGTAAATATTATTTTCAAAATCGCTTCTATCGAAATTGCCTACTTGTTCTTTTGAGATGCTTATCATACTAATCAATTTGATATGTACGCATATAATCGAAATCGATTTGTTAGTTATATTCGTTGGTGTCATTTAGTAAAGTTTATTCTATTTCTTTTAATTTTATGTTTCTTTCGGACATAAAATAGTTATTTTAACAAAACATATTCTCGTATGATAAATTCGCGATGAAAAGATTACAGAATAAATCTTATCTATACATCGTACTTGTTATCATAAAAGAACACATTTTTTTTCAACTTGTTTGACCCGAAATATAATGTTAATTTATAATCAACACATACGGATGATCATTAATTTATGGCGTGCTTTTATTCCGTCGAAATTTAACCTCGATAACTTTTATATAGGACGAAAAAAAACATTCTAGATAAAAGAAGAAACGTAGAAAGTAAATAGCTAAAAGTTTACATGATTTCAGTAACATACTTACAGATGCTATACATTGCTTTCTTAACACAGCTGTTTCTTTTTCTATATATAAAATATTTTTTCTACATTCTTATACACTATATAATGATTATTTCTAGATAGTGATTATACACTAGCTTAATTAATTGATATCTATTTTTGCTTTTTATGGCTACGCATAACCAAGAAAAAAATAAATCTGAAGCAAACATGGAAGATAAACAAAATTTACCATCATCAAAAGTTATATTTGATCTCGAACATTCTCAACGTCCTGAGGATTTTGATGAATCATTAGATGAATTTCTTGAACTTTCAACAACATCAAATGCACTTACAAATTCATCATTGGATTCATCATCACATATTATTACCAATAGTTCAACTAAAATGATGTCATCAAATAATAGTACGAATAGTGAAAATAAATCAACATTAAAACGTTACACAAGGTGAGTGTGACACGTGTTTTTTTTTCGTAACATGCAGAACAAAAGAAGAATAAACAAAAATATCGATATTTACCTTACAATGACATCGAACGATTTCATACGTAGCAACTAAATTATTGTAATTTATTTTTAGAAATATGTCTGGTGTTTCATTTGGATCAACGGCATCTCTTCGACAAGTAGCTTCAGTGTCAACACCTAAAGAATTATGTGATTATTTAGGTGGAAGACGTGTGATTAATAAAGTATTGAATTATTTTGTTTTATATACAATTATAAAATAATTTTTTATATAGATTCTCATTGCAAATAATGGTATTGCTGCTGTTAAATGTATGCGTTCAATTCGACGATGGTCATATGAAATGTTTCGTCAAGAGAATGCAATTAAATTTGTTGCTATGGTTACACCTGAAGATATGAAAGCAAATGCTGGTTAGATTATCTTTATTAAATTATTTTATCTTATTTTTTTTTATAGAATATATTCGATATGCTGATCATTTTGTTAATGTACAAGGCGGTCCATCACATATGAATTATTCAAATTGTGAACTTATACTTGATATTGCAAAACGTTTTCCTGTCGAAGGTTTTATTTCATTTATTTGTATAAAATAAAATTATAGAAAAATAAATAATTCATTTCTAGCTGTTTGGGCTGGATGGGGTCATGCATCAGAAAATCCTAAACTACCAGAATTACTTCATCGTAATGGTATTGCATTTATTGGTGAGTAATTTTTATTATTGAAGTGTATATCATAATTTTTCTTTCTTTTCTTATTAATATAGGTCCACCAGAACAAGCTATGTGGGCATTAGGTGATAAAATAGCTTCAACTATTATTGCTCAAAGTGCTAATGTACCAACATTACCATGGAGTGGATCTCGTAAATATAATAAATTAATTTTTAAAACAAAAAAATATAAATATTCATATTAGATCTCAAACTCACATCTAATGACCAAGATCATGAAGGCGTCCATGTACCAATGGATTTATATGATAAAGCATGTGTAACCGATGCAAAACAAGGCGTAGAAGTAAGATAATATTAATGATTTATTTTTCAATATAATAATTTTTCAATATTAGATTGCAGTTCAAATTGGTTTTCCAATAATGATTAAAGCATCAGAAGGTGGTGGTGGTAAAGGAATACGAAAATCTACAAGTCGTGATGATTTTGAAAATCTTTTTCGACAAGTTCGCAAAAATATTATTTTGTTTCGTTAAAAATTACTTTTCGAATTTAGGTACAAACTGAAGTACCCGGTTCACCAATATTTTTAATGAAATATGCTGATAGTTGTCGACATTTGGAAGTACAAATTCTTGCTGATCAAAGTGGACAAGCTATATCATTATTTGGTCGTGATTGTTCAATTCAACGACGTCATCAGAAAATAATTGAAGAAGCACCTGCTATTATTGCACCACCAGAAATTATTGAACAAATGGAAAAAGCAGCTGTACGTCTCGCAAAAATGGTGAACTATGTTAGGTAAGTTAAAATGTTTTTTTTCAAATTAATATTTCAAAAAAATAATTTAGTGCTGGTACTATTGAATATTTATATAATCCAAATGATCAAACATTCTTCTTTCTTGAACTTAATCCTCGATTACAAGTCGAACATCCATGTACTGAAATGGTTACTGATGTTAATCTACCAGCATGTCAACTACAGGTTGCTATGGGTATATGTTTACATCGAATAAAAGATATACGATTATTATATGGTGAAGAAGCATTTGGTATATCACCAATTGATTTTGATGAACCAATCAATAAACCTATACCACATGGTCATGCTATTGCAGCACGTATTACTAGTGAAAATCCAGATGAAGTAATCTTATGATGATAATAAAATAGATATTTTATTTTTTCTAAAATATATAAATTAGGGTTTTAAACCAAGTTCAGGAACAGTTGAAGAATTAAATTTTCGTAGTCGACAAAATGTTTGGGGATATTTTAGTATATCATCATCCGGTGGTTTACATGAATTTGCTGATTCTCAATTTGGACATATTTTTTCACATGGTGAAACTCGAGAAGATGCACGAGAGTTTGTTAAATTATTTATATAGATAAAATAAAATAGTTTTGTTTTCTTTTTTTTTATATTAGCAATCTTGTTGTTGCATTAAAAGAATTATCAATTCGTGGAGATTTCCATTCAACCGGTAAGAAAAAATAAATATTTTTATGATATTTAATTAATTTTTATTTTTTAAGTGGAAATTTTAATTCGTCTTTTGGAAACGGATACATTCATAAATAATACAGTTAAAACAAGTTGGCTTGATGGATTAATTGCAGAACGTTTTCAAACAGAAAAACCTGATATTATAATATCAATTGTATGCGGTGCTATACATGTTGCAGATGAAAAATTTCGAACTAATTATCAAAATTTTCAATTATCACTTGAACGGTAAAGAAAATATTTTATTTTTATTTTTTTTATTTTTATTTTGTACAGGGGTCAGATATTATCAATGAATACACTATCAATATCCACTCATGTCGAACTCATCAATGATCTTATTAAATATAGACTACATGTAATGAAATAAATAGAATCATAATTAAATTTCTATAGATTAATTTTTTAGGTCACTCAATGTAGTCCAAGTTGTTTTTTTGTTGCTATGAATGATTCATATGTTGAAGTTGAAGCTCATAGAATGAAAGATGGTGGTATATTAGTTAATTTAAATGGATCAAGTTATTTAACATTCATGAAAGAAGAAGTTGATACTTATCGTGTTACGATTAATAATAAATCATGTATTTTTAAAAAAGAAAATGATCCATCTATATTAAGGTAAATTAGAATCAATTCATCTTTTATTTATAAAATATCTATTTGTTTTTAGATCACCATCAGCTGGAAAACTTCTTCATTATACTATTGAAGATGGTGCTCCAGTTGAAGCCGGTCAAGTTTATGCTGAAATTGAAGTAATGAAAATGGTTACTGAACTTCGTTGTCCAACTAAAGGACAGTAAGTAAAGAATTCTTTATCTTGCCATTATTATAATCTTCTATTAGTCTTCAATGGCATAAACGTCCTGGTGCTATTCTTGATGCTTCATGTATTCTTGCACGTATCATATTTGATGATCCATGTCAGGTTCAACAATCAAAATTATATGATGGTAAATTTACTTCTGAAATAACAAATCGTGCAACAGGTACAAAATTAAATCAAGTCTTTCAAGCAACGAAACAAACATTAGAAAATATTCTTCGTGGTTATACATATCCAGAACCATATTTTCGTGAAAGACTTAAAAATACCGTTGAACAATTATTTACAATTTTACGTGATCCATCATTACCATTACTTGAAGTTGAAGATATTCTATCAAATATATCTGAACGTATGCCAAAAGATGTTGAAAAAGAAATCAAAAAATTAATGAAAAATTATTTAAGTAATTTAACATCGGTCTTAGTACAATTTCCATCACAATCAATTGCAACATATATTGATAATTATGCTGCTAAATTAGAACGTCGAAGTGATCGAGATATGTTTTTTACAACTGTACAAGCTCTTATACAATTAGTACAACGTTATCGTAATGGTATTAAAGGACATATGAAAACCGTTATAACTGATTTAATAAGAAATTATTTAAATATTGAAACATTATTTCAATATGGACAATATGATAAATGTTTAACACAATTACGTGATAAACATAAAATTGAGATGCATAAAGTTGTTGAAATTGTTTTTTCACATGCAAATTATAATTCAAAGAATGCTCTTGTTATTATGTTAATTGATTTTTTACTTGAACGTGATCCAAGATTAACTGATGAATTAACCGCATTATTAAGTGAATTAACATTATTAACACATACAAACAATGCTAAAGTTGCATTAAAATCTCGACAAGTATTAATTGAATTTCAACAACCACCATATGAACAAAGACTTAATCAAATGGAATCAATATTTTTAAGTGCACTTGATATGTATGGACATAAATTATGCCAAGATAATTTACAAGTAATTTAAAGACAATATATATTTGTTTTTAAAAGTTATTTGTTTTTTTTTTCTAGAAATTAATTCTATCAGAAACAAGTATTTTTGATGTTTTACATAGTTTTTATTATCATGCAAATGCACAAGTTCGTCAATCAGCACTTGAAGTAAATATGTTCATAGTTTCTATATATATATATATTTATATATTGAATTTTATTTAGGTTTATGTTCGTCGTTCTTATATCTCCTATGATCTTCATAGTATTCGACATGGTCTTCTTTCGGATGGTACCTGTTTTGTTCAATTTTCTTTATATCTACCATTAAATCATCCAAATCGGTAAGAAAATACTATGTCTATTCATCATTTCTTTTTTTTCTGCTATAGATTATATGTCCAGGAACATACAGGTCGTCGAGGTAGTTTCAGTGATGAAATGGCAGTTGTGGATGATGATGATCCACAATTATTTCGACGTAAAGGTGTTATTGCTGCATTTGATAGTTTGGAACGAGCAAAAAATTATTTTGATGAATTATTAATTCCATTTTCATCATCTTCACCACAAAGTCGTTCTTCCATGACAGGTCGTAGACCATTACGAGGACATAGTCGACAAGGTTCATATGATAATAAAGCGACAGAAAAACCTGGAGCACAAGTAAAATAAAAAGAATTTCTTTTCGAAATTTATTTATTTTATAATTCTTAGATTGATGAAGCAACTAATCTTATTTATGTATTTATTAAAGATGATGCTAATCTTCAACAAAATTTAAAATTAGAAGATGTATTTCTTGAATTTGTTCAATCAAAAGTACATCCTATTTTTGTTTTGGTTATATATGAAAATATTTTATAATATTTTAGAAACAAGTTTGTACTGCAAAAAATATTCGTCGAGTAACATTTTCTCTTGCTACACAAGTAAAGAATTTAACGAAAAAAAAAACAACTAAGAATTTATTTAATTTTTCTAGCGACAATTTCCAATTTATTATACATATCGTAAACGATTAACTGTAAGAAAAAATTTATTTCTATAAATTATCTTTTCATTTGTGTTTTTGTATTTAGTATGATGAAGATAAAATCTTTCGAAATCTTGAACCTGCACTTGCTTATCAACTTGAACTCTATCGTTTACGTTCATTTGATTTAGAATTTGTTGCAACATCAAATCATAATATGCATATTTATCTTGGCAAAGGAAAAATTCATAATAAACAAAATGATTCACCTGATTATCGTTTATTTGCACGTACAATTATTCGTCATACAGATTTAGTAACAAAAGAAACAAGTTATGAATATTTACAAAATGAAGCTGAACGTCGTTTACTTGAAGCTATGGATGAACTGGAAATAGCATTTTCACATCCATTAGCAAATAAAACTGATTGTAATCATGTATTTATGTGTTTTGTACCAACTGTTTGTATGGAACCAAGTAAACTTGAAGAAAGTGTTCGTGGCATGGTACTTCGTTATGGTATTCGTTTATGGAAACTTCGTATTCTTCAAGCTGAATTAAAAATGAATATACGATTAACACAAGATGCTGAACCGACACCATTTCGTGTATTTATGACATATGAAAGTGGTTATCATCTTGATATATCACTCTATCGTGAAGTAACAAATCAATCAACAGGACAAACTGTATTTCAAACATATAATATTGGTAAAACAGGACCATTAGATGGTCGTGCATTACATGATCCATATTTAACAAAAGATCAATTACAATATAAACGTTTTACTGCTCAATCAAATAGTACAACATATGCTTATGATTTACCAGAAATGTTTCGACGTGCTTTACTTTCAACATGGAAACAATATTTTGAAATAAATAAATGTAAAGATCAAACAATACCAAAAGATAATTTTGTTTATCAAGAACTTATACTTGATAATACAAAACAAGGTAAATTTAGAAGAAAATATTTTTCTTTGTTCTTATATATTTTTATATTATTAGATCTTATTGATTCAACATCACCAGTTTCACCCAATTCTATTTCAACAACTGATACACCATCAATAACAGCTATTTCAACACCTGTTATGGATACAGATAAAACACCAGCAACTCCAACAAGTTCAACACCAATATCATTACAATCATCACCATTTGATACGAATGAAACTAATAATAAACTTAAACAATGTGGTCTGATAACACGTACACGTTCACCAGCTGAAAATGATTGTGGTATTATTGCTTGGCGTATTCGTTTAAAAACACCTGAATGTCCAGATGGTCGTACAATCATTGTTATTGCAAATGATATAACATATAAAATTGGTTCATTTGGTATTGAAGAAGATTTATTATTTCAACGTGCATCCGAATTATCACGTTTAGAACGTATACCACGTATTTATATATCTGCAAATAGTGGTGCACGTATTGGTCTTGCTGAAGAACTTAAATTTCTTTATAATATTGCATGGAATGATTCCAAAGATATTGATAAAGGTATTCGATATTTATATTTAACACCAGAAGATTATGCACGTGTATCACATATGGATTGTGTACGAACAGAATGTATCAATGATGATGGAGAAATGCGACATAAAATCGTGGATATTATTGGTAAAGAAAATAGTTTAGGTGTTGAAAATTTACGTGGTTCAGGAATGATTGCTGGTGAAACTTCACTTGCATATAATGTTATTCCAACAATCAGTTTAGTAACATGTCGAGCTGTTGGTATTGGTGCATATCTTGTTCGACTTGGTTCACGTGTAATACAAGTTGAAAATTCTCATATTATATTAACAGGTGCTGGTGCACTTAATAAAGTTCTTGGTCGAGAAGTTTATAATGGTAATAATCAATTAGGTGGTACACAAATTATGTTTAATAATGGTATTACACATGATATTGTTAAAGATGATTTTGATGGATGTTTACTTATACTTCGTTGGCTTTCATATATGCCAGAAACAATGTTACATTTACCACCAGTATTACCGGGATTATATGATCCAATTGATCGTACAATTGATTTTGTTCCTACATCAACACCATACGATCCAAGACATATGATTCAAGGACGACAACTTGCATCACCACAACAAAATTTTGGTCAGATTGATTCCAATATATCAATGACAGCTTCATTTCAATCAGGATTCTTTGATCGAGATTCATTTGTTGAAATAATGAAAGGTTGGGCAAAAACAGTTGTATGTGGTCGTGCTCGTTTAGGTGGAATTCCAATGGGTGTTATTGCTGTTGAAACACGTACAGTCGAATTAGAACAACCAGCTGATCCAGCTAATTTTGATTCTGATGCACGTACAATACAACAAGCAGGTCAAGTATGGTTTCCTGATTCAGCATTTAAAACAGCTCAAGCAATTAATGATTTTAAACGTGAAAATTTACCATTAATGATATTTGCTAATTGGCGTGGTTTCAGTGGTGGTATGAAAGATATGTATGATCAAATAATGAAATTTGGTGCATATATTGTTGATGCTTTACGTGAATATGAACAACCTGTATTTAGTTATATTCCACCATTTGGTGAATTACGTGGTGGTGCTTGGGTTGTTATTGATCCAACAATTAATTTACGTTATATGGAAATGTATGCTGATCAAATGAGTCGTGGTGGTGTACTTGAACCTGAAGGTACAGTTGAAATAAAATATCGTACAAAAGATTTAACACGTACAATTCATCGACTTGATCCAGCATGTCGAGATTTAGTTAAAGAAATAAGTTCATGTCCAGCAGGAGCCAATAATATTAAAGAAGATCTTGAAAGACAATTAGCTGAAAGAGAAAAATTTTTATTACCTGTTTATCAACAAGCTGCTGTTATGTTCTGTGATTTACATGATACACCAGGTCGTATGTTAGAAAAAGGTGTTATACGTGTAAGTTTAATCGAAAATAAACAAAAAAAAAGAAAATTTAATAAAATATTTTTGTTTTAAAGGAAATCTTAGATTGGCGAACAAGTCGTGAATTTTTCTATTGGCGATTAAAACGTCGTTTACATGAAAATAATACTATTAAAACAATGGTTACTCTTGAACCTTCGGTTAATTATGAATCAGCTTCGAATTATCTTCAACAATGGTTTAATGAAGATCAAAACAATAATGTAAAGAAAGATTTTCTATTTTTGTTAATGAAAATCTCTTTTTTTTTGTTCTATTAGAGTGCACAATGGACACAAGATAAAATTGTTGCTGAATGGCTTGTACAATTTCAAAAATCAGCATTAAATAATCATATGAAAACTTTACAAAAACTAAATGCTCGACACGATATTCATCGGTTTGTTCTTCATTTAATTAAAAACAATATTTAATTTTTTATATTTATTTAAAGATTACTTCAAACATATCCTGATCTTTTATCAGATGTATTATCGAATGCAAATGATGAACAACGCTCTGAAATGAATCGCATTTTGAACAACAAACAATAAAACAGTGAAAAATCAATTTGATTGGAACAGAATATGTGATAATTTTCATCTTCGTTTTAGCTCCTTTTTTTTTCTTTCCGTTGACTATTTTATAATATAAAACAACAGGGAGTATATCGATGTGTGCGAATACTTTTTTTTTCTATTAGTTTTGTATTCGACTATATCTGATACTTGTTTTGTTTTTCTACTCATTCATTTATCTTTTTATGTGATTGTTATTTATTATAAAACTTAGATATAAATAAACGTTCACTCTCTCATAGAAACAAACAAAAACGAATATTTTATGATAAGTTTTTCGTTTTTTTGCAGAAAGAATGATGTTATTTAATGAACCATGGTATTTATCTATTTCACTTTTTGAACGTACATTAGCTTGTATTAATTTGGCAGCATTTCTTTCATCACTCTCACAATGGCGTGGTCAAATAGGTAGTACTGGTATTTTACCAGCTAATGGTTTTGTTCGTCATTGGAAAGAACGGAAACTAACATTCTTTCAACGTCCAACACTTTGTTTAGTTATTTCTGATTCTGACAATTTTCTTTTATTACTTCATTGGATAGGAATAATATGTTCCGTAATGGCTTTTTTTGCAATTATTCCACCAGGTATATGTCTAATTGGTTGTTGGCTTTGTTATTCATCATTAGTAACAGTATCAACAACATTTATGGGCTTACAAATGCATTCGAATTTATTAGAAACAGATATGTTGTATATTTTATGTTCACCATTTCTTGCTGCTCAACCTGAAGTATTTGTTTTTATTCAATGGTCACTTCTATTTCGTATTATGCTCGGTGGAGCTGTTGGAAAAGTAAGTTATAGATTACGAAAACGAAATTAATCATTATTATCCTTTGTTTATATTCTAGTATACAGGTGGTGATCCAAGTTGGAAAGACGGTACAGCAATGTCATGGCATTATTGGACTCAACCTTTACCAAATCCATTATCACCAATATTCTATCGTATGCCAGCTTCAATTCATACAATCGAAACATATTTTACATATGTTAGTGAAGGTATTGGAGCAATACTTTGTTATACACCACAAATTATTCGATGGATTTCATTTATTTTCTTTCTACTTATATTATTGGGTATTAATTCTACTGGTAATTATGCACATCTTGCACCATTAACTTTAACAGAAATGATTTTACTTTTAAATGATAATGTATGGCGTACATTAATTCCATTTCAATGGATTATTTCATTTCTGGAATATACTTCTGTTGCACCATATGCAATAGCATGGCCATTTAAATTATTACCATGGATATTTATTGCTTTACCATATTTTTTTATATCTCTTGTACCATTATTAGGTACATTTCGTGATGAAAATCCATTTTCATGGCCAATATTCATTCGATATTCATCTCGACCATTGAATTTAACACAGTTTATATATCAACATAAACATTTTCAACGTTTCTTTTTGATTCCATGGAATTATATAATGAATTGGTCTGAAAATGGACATGATTTAATATCACCAATAAGACTTTGTGGTCGTTATGTTAAATTTGCACATATGACTAAACGTCGTTGGGAAATAATTATTGAAGGAAGTGAAGATGGAACACATTGGTATGAATATGATTTTAAATATAAACCATCAAATATTAATAAAAGTTTACCAATTGTACCATTTTGTCATATGCCAAATCTTGATTGGAGACTTTGGTAAAATACTAGAATAAAATATAAGAAAAAAATAAAATATTTACATTTAGGTTTTTACCAAATGAAGCAGCTCGTGGTGCTCCACCACCACAATGGTTTAATATATTTTTACAACGTATTCTTGAACATAATCAATCAGTTCTATCATTACTTGGTCCATTACCAGAACAATTTCGTGCTAAACCACCGAATTTCATACGTGCATGGCTTTATGATTATCGTTTTACATATAAACGTGAACAAGATTCTAAACAATTAGTTGAAAAAACACCAGCAGATCAAATTGGTAAAACTTGGTATCGTAATCGTGTTGAAATATACGCAAAAGCCAATAGCAAAAATGAGTGATATCTATTTTCAATCTAGTCATACATTATTAATCAAGCATTGATGATGTGTTATTTTTTTTGTAAAATTTGTTTTGTTTGAATATTTTATTCCTGCCAAGTAGGTTAATTTTCATTTGTATTAGATATAGTTAAATAAAAAAAACGACAAATTTGAATAAGAAACAATCAGCTATGATAACATATATCTTATCTTTTATATTTCGTAAAGTGATCTAGATGTTCTATATTTTAATTTTTTTCTATGACAAATACTTATGAAGTGCATTGAGTGTATCTATAACTACGTAATCTTTTATTTATTACTAAGCAAAATAACTAAATTCCTAGAGTTTATTTATTCCAAAAAGATATTTTCTCTTTAAACCAATTCCACAATATATTAAACCAATTAAGAGTTTTTGGTGTAATTTTAATTGTTATCATTGTACTATTCTTTGTCGATGTTGTTGGTAAAAATTCATAATAATTTCGATTAGTTGATGTCCATGTTAATGAATTCACTGGAGATACATCAATATTATTTCCATGTGGATAATTTAAATCTTCATTTATATAAATTATTGTTGGTTGTTGAATATTTGTATTAATATCAAAAGTTAATTGAAAATTAAAAGAAATCGAATCAAATGACATAGATATTGGTTGACCTAGTTAAGAATAAATAAATATAAATAATAACAACTCGAATAATAATATTACCTGCAATAGCTTGTGCATATGATCGTGAAAGTGCTCGTACTTTATTGATTTCTAATTTACCATCTTCTGTGTAAAATGATTCTGTTGTTGCTGGACTTGCTGCTGTTGTTAAATCTTCATATTTTTTAAATTGCCAATAAGACCAACCTAAATAGATAGAAAGAAAAATATTTTTTCTCAATAGGAAAAAAAAACAACTAATTACTTTGTAAATATTCATCTGCTATATTTGTAATTCGAGTAATTTCTTTAATACCTTCTGTTGAATTACTTATAGCACCAAATTCTGTTAACATCATACCACCAAATTTTTTTTTCTTTGCCTCTTCATATCGTAAACTAATAAGAAGTGCGTCATCGACATCACAAACAAGATCTGATTTTGGATCACCTTGTTTTGTAACATCAACACAATAAACATGATAACTAAATACTTGTCGATTATTATAATCAACACCACCAGGTCCTTGTTGTAAGCCTGTTTGTAGAAGATCAGCAACACATGGTTCATAGAATATTATACGTTTATCATCAACTTGTCGAATAACATCGTGTAATTTTTTATACATAGGTGTTAAATAAACTCGATCGACTTCGCCAAGTTTTACAGCATCAACAAGTTTTGTAAATGGTGGTTCATTTAATAATTCATAACCAAGTACAGATGAACGATTAGCAAATGTACTAGCAATAGTTCGCCAAAATGAAGCAAATGAATCAAGTACACCATGTTTATTTGTATATCTATATAAGAATATTTATATTTTAAATGATATCTACTTTCATTGTTTCTTTTTCTACTTACAACATATGAAATCCATCCATTACAGCTTGAGTTATATAATATTGAAAAAAAGGACGTGCAAGACATGCTTCAAGTGTTGGATAACCTGTATCAGATTCTCGTGTTATATTAGCAGCAACTGGCATTGGAAAAGATTTAAAAACATCATCATCTAATTTTTTTGCTACCCAATCAGGTACACCTTCACCACAGAAATATCGTGAAAAAACATCTTGATGAACATCAAGTAAAGCATAAATGCCTTTATCTTCCATCATTTGTACAGCTTTTGATAATTGTGAAAGATATTGTTGATTGATTTCTGTTTCTGATGTTGGATTAACACCCATCCATGATGTATAAAAACGAATAACATTAAAACCCCATTGATGTAAATTATTTAAATCATCATTTGTTAACGAATTTTGTGGATCAAAATCAGTTAAATTTGGTAAGAATGGTGGTAATTTATAAACAACATTAACACCATGAAATATACGTACACGACCATATTCATCAATAAAATGTTGAGTTAATGGATCAATTTGAATAGGAGATAATTCACTATAACTATGCAGAATAAAAAAACTTGAAAAAACAAGATAAATAATGTGAAGCATTTTTATTTAAACAGATATGAAAATAGAATGTGAATTTATATCAGTTAGATTGAAGACAGATGGTATTTATTCTCATATGAAAATGTATGTCGTATTATAGAAAAATGTTTATCAGTTAATTTTTCTTTTATTTGTTGTATGTTGATGACAGTTTTTATAATTTTCACGTAAAACTTGATTTTAATGCATTTTCATCTAATTGTTTCATCTAAGATAAAAAAATTTATAAATATTATTTCAGATAAATTTCTGTAAATCAATGATAAGTTCTGTTTATATTCCATTCGAGAAAATGATGTTATAGAATAATTGATTAATTCTGATTGTAAATCTTTGTAATTATTCATGCTTGCTTGACATGAAATATGATAATATTGTAAGATTTTTGTATATTTACAAAATTCATGTAAATATTTTCGACAATCATTCTCTTCACCATAAATATCAATACCAGCAATTTCATTTGGATAATTACCAGCAAGACGAATAAATTCTTTCATATTTTTTTACATTATTCCTATTACAACCTTTAGATAATTATACTTATAAGAAGAAAAAATCGAATACAATCAATAATAAATTCTTAAATATATATTTCAAGAAAAATTTGTTTTTATTTGAATGAATAATTTACTATAACATGTTTCAGTTTTATTCTCAAAATTGAATATTTCTGGTCAAAATAAAAGTTCGGTATAGATAATAAGTTGTTCATATTGATCATGGATGATTTCTTGTAAAATTCGTCTTAATAAATGATGATCATTGTAAGAGAGAATGATAATTAATTGGATCTATTTTTATTCGATTATGAATTTACTTCAAAAGTCTGAGCACATAGATGAGCGTATACGGATACAAAATGTACTCACAAAAAACATCATCTATTTCATATTAAGCAACTCATCAATAATCATGACAAAGCCAAAACTAAAGAAAAAGAAAACCGCCTCAAGCACGTAAATGAGGGTGGGGGGGGGGAAGGTTTGGAGGTCGGTGGGGGTATCCTCGCCACAATTTCGTAACACGCACTCCACAAAAAGTGCTATAAAAGACTGTACTCCTAATACTTCGTAAAATAGCTAGAACTTTGAACTCATGCACTCCACATCACCTGTTGATAATCACCCATGTACTGGGTTGAAAACCTTAGAATTGGTGGTGTACATAGATAAATAACAATACATATAGGAGAGTACATGATCATGTACACCATCAATTCTAAGGTATTTCGGTGAGCACATGAGGCCTTGGCTATCTAGCTAGAAAATATCGTTTAATTCTGAGTACATTTTGTACTTGTATCCGCTCAGTCCTCATTTATGTCCTTTTTTAGTCCACTAAGGACATATTAGAGTATTTGTTATTCATATGTTACTAAATATAAGACCTCACCTTTGTACGTAAATGTCCTAATAGGCTAGAACAAAAGGTGATTCTCTTTTTCTTCGATATGTATATATAGGCGATCATTCAGCTGTCGTGTTTTATTTCTAGTATTTTGTCTACATATTCTTTTCATATAAGTTATATTGATATATAATGATTGCTCGTTTCGCTGTTCCACATCAAATATCGATACCATCAGATAATGATGATAATAATAGTTAGTATTATTTTTATCGAGTTGTTACATTTAGAATTGCGAGGTTCACTGTATATATATATATATTTTTTAATTCTTTTTATTAAGGTAAACGATCTTCTTCGCCTGCATCTCCTTCAAGTTCCAAACTATTGCTTGAACAAAGTGAAACTCATTATATTACCATTCCTGAAGCAATTGAACTTGTTTTTCATTCGTTTATTCCACAAGCTGATATAACATCTCAAGTTCATTTTGTTAGTAATATTCAATCAGATTCTCAAGCTGATTTAGCTGGTCTTAAAGATGGAGATCGTATATTACAAGTTAATGGAATCAATGTGACGAGTCTTGAACATGAAGAAGTACGTAAATTGATGCAATTAATGACACCTATTGTACTCACAGTACGATCTGATCCAAAATATTTGCTATTATTACAACAATCAGTTACTAATATTGAAGAAAAACTACCAGGTATATTTAAAGATAAAAATTCAATAAATACTAGAAAATTCTCTTTAGAACCACTTATCACACTCGATGAAGAAAATGGTTATGATCCTAAAAATCGTAAACCAAGTAGATTTGAATTAAAACGACATTTATCAATTGATTCAACCATAAGTAATTCCAGAAAATTACGTCGTTGTGAAATATTTCACTTAATTCAACCAAACGAAAGGAGTCATAAAGAACCATTAAAAGCTAAATTATGTCGATTACGTGAAAGTAAATCTTCTGAAGGTTATGGATTAGTACTTATATATCGACAAAATCTTCATATTATCAACGAAGTTGAAAAAGCATCACCTGCTTATCATTCAGGTTTACGAGAAAATGATGTTATTATATTTGTTGGTAAAACAAATGTAGAAAGAATGGTACATGATGATATTAAAACTATCATTCGAGCAATGGCATTAACATCAGATTACATTGAATTAATTGTATTGAGTAAAAATGATATTCCAAGATATAGAATATTACGAGAAAAACATTTAATTGATTGGTCAGTTATAAGACTGGAATAATAATCAAAATAAGATTAAAAAATATCTTTTTGTAAATAATACTACAGCTGCTTATATATAATGTATTAAGAAACAAGAGAAAACTTATTTTCTTTTTTTATTTTGTTTAATAAAGAATGGATTTAAAGTTATTTTGTTTGATCAAAAACTTTATATTGATCCTATAAAAATAAATAGTCAGTCATTACAAATTTTTGAGCATTAATGATGAAATACTTCTTAAAATAAGTTTATTTTCTTTTGTTTATAGAGTATAATTGCTAACACCTAAGTTTATCTATCTTACCTGAAGAAAATGTCCAGGGATTAATTTTGTGCTTTCTTTCTACAATAATCACGTTGTCTATTTTTATTGTATAAATATGTATCTAAATATAACTATTTCTTATGTAAATAACATTGAATTTATATTATAATGGTTATTTTTCTTGCACAATCGTAAAATTTTAAAAGAAAAATAATGAAACATTTTATGTGTTTCGAAATTCTTTGATTGTCTTATGCAATATGTTCATATGTGGTTATAATTAGATCTTTGTATTTATAGTAATAGACTACACCGAATAGTTGTAAAAGGCCTGATGAGTTGTGGATTCAAGTTCGTGATAAATAGAATTTCACAATTCTTTTGATAGTAGTTTTATTTTTAAACTGAATATATATATATTGCTCTATTTATTCTTTTAGTTGCGAAATTACTCTACTATTTATAATCATTTAAATTTATAAAAGATAACATTTGTTTGATTATTTGACTACTGACATCTATATTTGTACTTGTGCTCTTCATTTAACTATATAAAATTATGGTTTTATGGTTCATACATTTCGACAATCCTATGTTTTTTCTTTACTTGATCACATTAACTTTTAAAAACAAGTCTCACTCATCAAATACAGACAATGACGTCATAGAGTAGACTATCTTGAATTATTCCTGTTCTTAGCTTCCTTGCACGTTTTATATATATAAAACGAACAAGTACTAGTCTGCTTCACCACGTAGAGGTGACAGGAATGTATACGAAGCAGATAAAATTTTTTTGGGGGTTTTTTTTTAAAGTATTTTTCGTTTTTTTTGTCGATAAATCGTTTTTTTTAGCTTGATTTTTTTTTTGGATTTTTCCATTTTGTTAATTTTTTTTGCAACCACAGGTTACAATTGTTTTGGTTTAATATTTTTTTTTCAATTTGTTTTTTTTAATTTTGCAATTTTTATATCGACTACATTGATCATGTAATCGTTTTTTTCGTTTTTTAATTTGTTTTGTTTTGTTAATTTTAGTTAACTTCACAATAAATTGAACATTGTCACACCATTTTTTAATATTTAATTAAAGTTTTGTGAACCATTTTTTTGGTTTAAATTTTCCTAGTATTTCATGTGAAACAATTTCACATATGCACATATAGAAACACAAATAAAATCAGGTTATGTACATTATAATATGCACGAATAAGAACCATTAAATTGTGCCATTTTAATTTTGTCATCAATGGGACCGTCGAATGATGATGCATCACAAATAACAATTTCTTCAAAAGGTTGAGCCATCACCAAGCGAAGTATCCCACGGCAAATTTGACAACAATTTGATTTGATGAGTTGGAGTGTGCCGAATGTTAAAATACTGTTTAAATTTACATAGCTTATATAGGTTGTAGAAAAATAGAGAAGAGAAAAATAGAGACGACAAATATCATGATGTGTAACAAGACATTCTTTGGTTGTTCTTTTCTTTTTTCTCTCCTTTTTCTTATACTACCGTACAGTAAATTAATGTCTACTAGTAGTTATTGCACAATTTCTCGGCAACAAAGAAGTAATCTATCGCCGAAGGAGAAAAAAAACCCCAGTTTGGAAGTTTCTCACCTTGAAAATTTTTAATATTCTCTATCCTCTCCAATTACTTTGATATTGACATCAGATAACAAATAAAATGCATTCTCTAATATGTCATGCTTCATCAATTTTTTTAATGTATTGAATCTTTGCATATATTGACAATAATAAAGGTAGATGTCGCTAAAGAATAGTATCAATTAAGAGAATTTTTATTTGTGATTTTTCATTAGTCCAGTAATTAACAAATGAAATCGTTTTCTTTCTTTTTTTCTTATACAAATCAATTCATTTGTTCAATCCTATGTTCTACTCAATATTTTGAGAAAAATCAATCGAAATATTTAGATAATAAGATTCTAATCAGCATTAGAATGTCTACTGGTTCATCAGCCAGTAGTAATAATGCTCCAATTCTACCTATGTATGATAAAACTCCTTTATCTAATTTACTTGAAGCAGCTGTACAAAAAACTTATCATGAACTATATACAATGGCAGATGTGTATGTATCATTTATTTTTCTTCAATACATATTTTATTCAATCAATCTTTCATTTTAGTTTACCAAGTAAAACAAATATCGAACGGTAAAAGTTTTAAATTCTTGTAAAAACCTGTATATTTCTTTTAATAATTATTTAGAAAAAAAGAATTAGTCAAATTTGCTTGTCGTGCTCGTCAATTATTTATACGCATTTTAGCTGTCGTTAAATGGGCAGCAACAGCTGGAAAAGTCAATGCATGCGAGGTACATATTTATATGAAATAAAAATAATCAAAACTATATTTTCGATGTTAAAGGATATACAAAACTTTTTGGAAGGTCGCAATAGAGTTGTACGTGAAACATCAGATTTATTAGCACAATTAGCACGTGAAAGACTTCTTGATGCAAGGTATAATGATTATGAATAAAAATAAATTTTTCAAAAATATATTATTCTTTTAGATTACCAAATTATCCTATAACAGATGCTGTTGATGCATTAACATTAGGTTCAGTTAATTATTTACCTGAACGAATATCGGTTTGTTATGACAAAAAAATTCATTTTTTCTTCAATTAAATAAGTATTTATTTAGGAAGCAACAACTCCTTTTATACCAGCGACTGATATTGAACGTCAAGAAATTTTACCACGTCTTCAACAAATTCTTACAGCAAGAGTAGCTATCGCAGAATTGCCTATTCAATTTACAAGTGTTACAATAAGTATGTTCATAAATAGATATCCTAAGTTTCTTTTTGTATGATTAATTATGTTTTATTCTAGGAAATGGAATAGTCACACTAGCTGTTGATGGTGAATTTGAAGTTAAATTAGGTATAACAAGTGATAATCTATTTGCTCCATGGCATGTTTATAAAACAAAATTGTTTTTACGTGATCCAGAAGAACCAGGTATAAAGCTTGAAATTAAAAAAAAATTATTTTATTTTATTTTATTATAGAACAAGAACTTGTTCATGCTGTACAAGTAAGTTTAAATGTTTGTTTCATATGAAATATATCTTATTATTTAAATCTAGATGCAAACATTAACCAATTATATTCAAAGTTGGCTTATCGAATCCGAAAATCCGTTAGTTGAACTCTATCGATATTTACGTATGTTATTTCTATTTATTTCTAAATTATATTATTTTTCATTCAATAGATTATTATTGTCAATCATTACGTTTACAAGTTTTATATGAACAAGTAAATAACAACAAACGAATAGAGAAAATTGATGATTGTTTTTTTTCTCAGGCTCATAGAATACGTAATCGAAGTGCAAAACAAAAGCATTTACATATATCAAGTTATATCCCATGTAAAAGTTTTAATATTGAATATTGGAAGGAATATAATCTAAATAATCAACAAAAAAAGACAACAATAAATGAAAAAAATCGAGATATTGGTATGACTATTGTATGTGATGATGATGGAAAATTTCAAATAATTCATTGGCCACCATTACCTGTTGAGGATAGCGTCGCAATTTTACAAATTTTAGAAGTAAAACTAATCTTATTTGTTTTCAATAAATTTATCTATATACATAATCTTTAGAAATCAACATTTACTATGGAAGAAATTCTTAATCGAACAATCTATGCACGATGTCAACGTCGATTTGAAGTTTGCTATTTTATTTTATTATATCATTTTTTGTGTATATGAAAATTATTTCTAGGAATTAAAAGAAACTATTCTATCAACAACTTCTGCAAATAGTATGTTATAATATTTCGATTAGATTAAATACAGATTTCTAATTTTGAATATTTAGTTGAAATTGATTCATCAATTCCTGTATTAAAATGCGAATTATTACCGGAAAGTACATCCGAAGAAATTTTATTTATTTCCATAAGTCCATTTTCGGGTTTATATAAAATTGTTTCATATATGGAATCTCGTTTTTGTCTACAAATTGAACATGCACTCAATCGTGATCAAGGAAATTTAATTGATGCGATTAATTTATTTAAGTAAGAAGAAAACAAAAAAATAAAATTCTTATTTTTAATAAAATCTTCTTTAGAATTTGGTTAATTCAACAACGTATTCCATCTCTTCTTGCTCATCTTAATTGTCGTGTTTTCACACGTTTACCATCATTAAATCCAAAACATGAATTAATTATTCCTTTTCTACATAATAGTATTTATATTGAATTAACTCATAATGAAGGATATTATATTGTAAGAAAAAAGATTTTTTGTCGATTTTTATAAATAATTATTTTATTTAGCTTGTTCATATATCGAATGTAAATCAATTATTAATTCAATATTATTTATTAATTATTGAAAAACGTTCATCTGTTCATGATCCATTGATAATTCAACAACAAAATGTACAGTATAATCAACAAGCAATAATGGCAAATGATGAAAGTGCAAAATGGATATTAGAACCACTTATTTTATGTCCATTAGATCCAACAGCATTTCTAAGAAAAGAATTAATAGAAGTTTGTTGAAAAAATTTTATTTGTAAATAAAGAAAATTTTTTATATTCGATTTAGTTTAAATATCCATTTCATTTTGGAAAAATGAAAGAAACAATTGAAGACGAACATGGAATAAAACAAGCGAGATCAGTAAATAAAAATTGAAATATTTATTTTTATTATATTTTTATTCTTTTTAGACATCAGTTCTTTCACTTAAATTATTATTAAAATTAGTTAATTATTTTGATGAAATGCTTACATTTACATTTTTAAAAGAAGAAGTAAACATTCTATTGATTTTATTTTAGAATTTAACAATAAAAAACGATTTTTGTTTTTTATTCATTAGTTTCAACGTAAAAAAACAATATGTAAAGGTATTATTTATAGTCCATGGACTGGTATTCCATATCTTGATATAGTTCGGTAAGTATCTTTGTTTTATTTTTTTTATTATAAAATAAAAAAATATTTTAATAGAACATCTACCGGTGATGATTCATTCTCATCAAATACCGAACTTTCAAGTTATATTAATGAATGTTTTTGGCCTCGAATTTCATCATGTACTATTCGATTAGCTTATACATTACGTGATACAACTCATGCCCATAAATATACTGAACGACAATGGACTTTACAAGTAAATTTCATTTTCTTTCTTATATACTATTTAACGTTTCTTTATATATTTTTTAGTTAAATTTACTTGACAATAATTATTTTAATAATTCAATTTTAAAAAGTATGTCTATAATAAATATCTTCGAAGAATATATATATATATTTTATTGTTAACTTTAGCTCCATATAATTCTATTCTTGTTTGTACTTATACCTCAGCAAAAATGTATTCGAAAGTAGTTGATTATATTCATAATGAACTTCGAGCTGCATTTGAATTAACATATTTATTTGAAAATTATGCATTATCATTATCAGGTTTATATAATATAGACAAAAAAGAAAAAAGAAATTTTATTTTCATTCTATATAGAATCAACTGATCTTCGAGCAATTGCTGAAGTAACATCATTTAATTTTTTTAAATGTATAATTCACTACGGACCAAATTTTGCTTTTGCTGTGCGTATAAAAAGAATAATGAAAGTTTTTTTTTATTTTTTTTCGAATATATTTCTAGGTCACAATAACACATATTATTAATCAAAATCAACAAGATTTAAATTCAACTAGTGGAGGATTATTTGATTTACGTTTTACAACAACAAGTAATAAATTTTTAACAACAGCACATCAATTATTAAATGGAAAATTAATTCAATTTCTAAATCGAACACGTTCATTAAAACAATTTCTTCGGGTAAATAATAGAAAAATTCTAATATTCATATTTATCTTTTATTAATTTAGTTATTACATATGACAACAATTCCAATATCTTCTATTGGACGATTGAATTGTTTTAATCGTGCAATTATTTTTATTAATCAAGTTTGTTTTATACAAATAATTTTTCTTTTCAAAAGGAACAATTTTTTTTTCTAGGGTGCATGTATTCAATCAACGTTTACATTTGTTCCTTATACTGAAGTTCGATGGCGATTAATATTCGGTCAAATATTTGCACTTGATATTCAAATATGTGGACCTAATTTAATACTTGTACGTGATGGCGCATACAGTGTACAATTAAACAGTCTATTACCTGAACTTTTACCAATACCAAGACTTAAAGTAATAGTGAAATTAGTTTTAAATATCGAATTTTGAAAAAATTCTCTTTTAAATTTCTATAGGATTTCTTATCGAGATATGCTGATGATCGAGGATTAACATTTGAATTTATGCATATAACAGATTGTTTTCGTGATCGAGATTTTCTTTTACCTGAATTACAGTTACCTCCACCACCACCTCCAGTATCAACAACAACAATAACAACAAATCCTCCATCAAATCGACCATTAACTTCAGGAAATGCACCAACTCCACATTTATTACATCCTGTTGGAACACCAGCTTCATCACTCAATCCATTAACACCTGCAAGTGTTGGTCCTAGTAGTCAATCTCAAGTACAAGCGAATTCACCATCACAATCATTAATTGCACCAAGTCCTGGTGGTTTTATGGGAATAAGTTCACCGATGATGATGACACAAATAGGCTCACCAATGACTAATACGAATACAGCACAATTAACAGCTCCATCACCAATGGGTATTCCTACACAATCACCAGGAAATATTTATGGTATATTTATTTAAATCTAAGAAAGAACTATTGCGAATAAGATCATGATTTTTCATCTTTATTTTAGAAATGCCATATATAAGTCCCGGAACCCGACAATCTAGTTCAACATTTCCCGGTTCATTTCTTGGCCCATCACCTGGTACACCTGCAAATACTACCATGACATCTGCACCCACTCCAACAAATACTCGATCCGATGAAAATGGTAATCATATATTGATTAATTCTTCATTTCTTTTCTTTTAATCAAAAATTCTATTCTTAGTTACTAAACAAACATCAACATTACATACTTATAATCGACATATATATTCTAAACATTATCCTGTTTATATGAGTCAACAAACATTTTTTCGAATGATTTTTACATCTGATGGACATCAATGGTCAAAATTAGAATCATTTCTTGCATCATCTGTTCTTGTTAGACATTTTAATCGTGCTGTTTCAGAACCATATGATCCTAATAATCCAAAAGTAAATAAAATATTTTTGTCTGTTTTTCTCTTCTATTTATATTTTTGATTAAGGTACGTTCTGTATCAAACGAACAAGATACATATCGAATCGATCATCTATCATTACAAATTGCATTTGTATTTGATAGTAATACAGCAACATATCGAATTCATTTTACATCTACTGCTGATCCTTCATCTCAACAACAACAACAGCAACAACAACAACAGCAACAACAACAACAACAACAATCTAATTTTACTTGGCAACCTGATGAACTTCAAACAATGGAAACATTTTTTAATGATAATTTTTTTCCTACATCAATATTATCAAGTGGAACAAATCAAATAATTACGCCAACTATGGATATTTTATCGTTGGCAGCAGCATCACAAAATCGAAATACATCTATGGGATCATTTGAAAAAATGCTTTCACATGTTCACCCACGTGTATTACGTGATCTTGTGAAAATCATTCGACTTGAACAGGTAAGTTGATATTATCTGGGTGTTCTATTTAGATCAACAAGAGACACCCATCGAATCATTATTTGGTATAATTCTAATTTATCTTTAATTTTAGAATGCTGAAAACCATCATGTATGGCGAGCACGATGGTGTTTAACAATACCACCAGGTAATGGTTTTTCTCAAGTTGGTCAACCCGCAATTTATTGTCAACCTGGTCAAGCATCTATTTTTATCGTATGTTTTTTTTTAATTCTATTTTCAAATTGAAATCATCTCTTTTATATTTAAATTTCTTAGTTTCAATTTATTCCAAGAACAAATCGAAATGATCTTCAAATGTCGAATACTATAAATACATCATCATTTATTGTACCATTAACACATGATGTAGCAACAAATCAAACAGCTTTATGGGAGAGAATTTTTAAACAATCATTAATGGGTAATGAACAAAAATATCACAATATATCAAAAATTCTTATTAACTCACGTGAAACAATTAATAAATGTAAGTCTACTTAATTTTTGAAGACAAAAAAATAAAAGATATTATTCTGTTTTAGATGAATGTTCATTATTTCCAACGATTGTTGAATTAATATCTTGTTTACAAAATTCTTTAATATCCAATTATTCATCTTGATAAATCTTTTCGTTTTTTCTTTTTCCTTTCTTTTGTTATTGTATGTATTTTATTCGATTTGTATACTTCTATTGAAAGAAAAAACCAAAAAATAGATGATAAGCAGAATACTTTTGTACACATTCTTGAGTTCTATTCAAGAGAAAAACAAATTTTTTTTCGTATATATATTGATGTATTGTATAATTATTTATTATTTGCTTTCGTAGTTATTGTTATCAAAGCGACATTAAATAAGATATTGAGTTATGTCCGTCGTTTCATCTAAAATTCTACGCGTGTTGTTGTTGTTGTTGTTATTATTATTATTGTTCTTATTATTATAAAACGAAAAAGAAATATCTTTTGTTTATTATATTAAAAAAAAAGGCTAAAACTATTTCAAATAAAAAATAAACTTGTATAAGTGATGTTTAGATTTTTGTCTTTTTAAGATTAGTTTTGTTTATGAAAAAAAAATTGAAACGTATTCAAATTATTCATCGAACAAAAGATGGAAAATGTAATAAATTCTGGCAAAATATTGATTTTAATCGAATGATTACACTTAAACATATTTGGATTGATGTAAATCAACAATCAATTTTATCATCAGATGATAATCAGAAATTTTATTGTTATAAAACAAAAACATTATTACCAGAATGGTATCATATTGATTTGTTAAATGATAATGATCAAATATTAATTGAGGAATTTAATGAAAAGTAATATATTGTTTAAAATTCAACGAGAACCAGTAGTTTGATAAGAAAGATAGAAGATTTATTCCATCGAGAATAGAACTATGTTTAACAGAATTATAAGAGACCATCTATAAAGAACGTTCAGACGCAGTTACTTTAAACGAAATTGATTTTTGAAGAGTTCCGTAGTTCGAAAATAAACTCGGGTGATTAAATCATTCTGGATATAGATGAAACAATTGTGGCATGTATTTCGTCATTTAACGATTTCATTACATCATAAATTCAGGAAATGATCGAGTTCTACTTTCGATAATCAGTTTCAAAAGAGTAATCTGTTAAAGTCGTATGACATCTTAAACGGATGTAGTACTGAGAAAACAGTAAATATTTATTAGATGCGATAGTAGAGAGAGTTATCTATTGAAACATAGAGAATGGGACAATACATATATTGATTTTCTTATTCTATCTGCGAGAAAAAAAGATTAGTGAAATTTTATCTCACATGTTTAACATTGATTTCATTTCGTAATTATATAACAATATTTCTTCTAATATTATTTAGTGTACTTTCCAATAAACCCACAGTTTCATCAATACCGATTCAAATTGAATGCTGAAAAAATTCAGCATTACCGACTGAATTCGAATGTTTCAAAAATATACCGAAAAAGAAACAATTAAATGCATTTGTTACAAATCGATCATTTATCATTACGAATAAACATTCAATACCAAATGATTTCTATCAACAATGGGAAGAAGGAAAAATGCATAAAAATACAAATAATTGTCGAATGATATTCTAATAAATAATCATTTGTGTTAACAAGAAGAATTTTTTAATTGAATTCTTTTCTAGATCATAAAACATGTTTTTTCGTGATAAAGTAGCTAAAGTATCTTTAAGAGATATGCTCGAAATTCAAGAACGTCTTGGAACGAAAAAGTAAAAACTCTCTTAATAATTTAAAATATTTAAACATTATGAAATATTTAGTTTTACAAAAGCCTTACAAAAAGAAGCAGAAGAAAATGATAATGATGACGATGATGATAATAATGAACAATTCGCGCGTAAGACTCAAACATCAACAACTATAAAAAAACCAATATCTACTGAACGAACATCAAAACTCGAGTAAATATTATAAATTGATTTATTTTTTTTTTCAAATAAATTTAATTGATAAAATAGACCATTGGAAATATCATCAAAACGACAACCAGCAAAAAAAGATCAAATTCCTGTTCATTTGCGTGGCAGACGAAAACTTATTGATCCACGTTTTAATGAACAATTTGGGGATTATGATGCTAAAGAATTTCGACAATCCTATCATTTTATTACTGATATGAGACGAAAAGAATTAAATGTAAATCAATTGATTTCTAATTTCGTATGTTACAAAAATTGTATTTAATTAACTTTAGGATCTTAGAAAACAATTGAAAACATCTGAAGATCCAACAGAAAAAATGAAATTAAAAGCAGTTATTAATCGTCTTGTATGTTTCTTTTTGAAAACTTTATTTTGTACTATAAATTATTTATGTAAATAGAAATCTCAAGTGAAAAATGTTGATGATTTAGATCGTGTTGAAAAAGTTTCGAAAGAAATTGAACAAAAAAGTGAAAAACTTGCGAATAGTGGTGAATCTACACCATATATAACAAAAGGTGAGAGAAGAATCTTTCTTAATAAATTTTTCATAAATAAAATTTCTGTTTTTTTTCATATTTAATAGAAGTTCGAAAAGTAATGAAATTAGCAACAACATATACAGATTTGAAAAATACAGGACGAATCGATGCTTATTTAAGTAAAAAACGTAAACGTTTAGCAAGTAAAACAAAGAAACAAATGCCAACACGACGTGTTAACGATGATGACGACGAAGATTAATTTTTTCCGAATATTTCATTGTTATATTGTAAGAGATTTTCTTGTTTTTGATGAATTAATTATATTCAACATCATCAAATATGATACACACATCTCTTTTAACTTCAAGGAGAAAAAGAATATTCTTCGAATTATATGAAAATTAATTTATCACATAGAGGTTAGCGTTTATCATAAAATTTTTATTTGTTAAGTAAATTTCATGCTTATCGATACTATCTATATTTTCCTGCTAAATATAAAACGAACAGTATCTATCTAAAAATCAATGTGTTTAAATAAAAAAAATATCAAAGTCAAGATTTGTTCACTAATGTTGAACTTCATTTCCACATTGGATCTAAAATAATACGGAAATTTAGTAAGATAATAAAACTATTTTGATGAAAAGAAAATTATACATACCATTACTTTAATGGCTTGTCCACTTTCAGCCATTTCAAAAGCTTGAACAGATTCATTAATTTTAAATCGATGTGTAATCAATGGTTTAACATCAATTCGACCAGATGCAATTAAACTTAATGCAGCTGGATAACAATTTGCATAACGAAACACACCACGAATATCAATTTCACGAACAGCAGCATTTACAATAGGTAATGATGCTAGTGGACGTCCAAGACCGACAAGAACTACAACACCACCGGATATTGTGCCCTATATATAATATAATGTCATATTTTATTTCATTTTACCGAAAAATTACTAACATAGAATGTTGTTTGAATGGATGATTCAGCACCTGAACATTCAATTGAAATATCTGGCATACATCCAAGTGTTTCAATAACAATTTGAGCTGTTTTTTGTGCATCTTTATCAGCAAGAATAACATGACTAGCTCCAATCTTTTTTGCAAAATCAAGTCGAGATTGACTAATATCTATTGATTAAATAAATATAATATATAGTAAAATTAAAAATTCTTATTAAAAAACATACCAGTCATAATAACTGTATCAGCACCCATTGCTTTGGCTGCCAGCATACTGACAAGACCGATGGGTCCTTTAGATATTTATAAAGATTATATTGAATAGATTTTTATTATTCAATATTACCAGCTCCAGTAATCAATACTTTTGATCCAATTGTAACACCAGCTCGACGACATGCATGTACACCAACACTTAATGGTTCACAAAATGCACCTTCTTCATAGCTAACATGATCTGGTAATCTATGAGAAAATCATGTGTTTTTTGAAAATAAATTATTTAATTTTACTTGAAACAAAAATCAGCAGCATGAGTATGATAACGTGCAATGCTTCCATGAACAGGTGGTGTTGCAAGAAAAACAACATCAGGACAAAGATTATAACGACCAGTTTTACAAAAATCACATCGGCGACAAGGTACACCAGGTTCAATTGTAACACGATCACCTAAGAAATAAATATATTATTTAAAAGATAATTTAAATGTGTTACCTTCTTTAAGATTCTTGACATTTGGTCCAACTTTAATAACTTTGCCGGAACTTTCATGACCAAGAACCATGGGAGCGCGAACGATAAAATCCCCTATAGCTCCCCATTTCTACGATATAATTAGAATTTTCATTTGTGTTAAAATAGAGAGAAATTTAATATTATACCCAATAATGTACATCACTACCACAGATGCCAACACTTTGCATTTCAATTAATACCTCTATAAAATCGTTTTATGTTTAATAAAAAACTATCATCTAATGATAATTAACTATATTACCTCCATCCTTTGGTTCACTGACTGGAAAAGGTTCCTTGAAAGAGAAATGATAAAATGAGAATGAGAATTTTCAATTATTTAAGATCATACTAAACGAAGATCGTCAATTTTGTGAAGAACTAGGGCAATATTTTCATCAAGTGTTGAAGTCATGTTAATCTATTAGCTGTAATATATCTTTACTTTATCGGTGATGCGTCGGTGTGTGTGTCCGTTTATATCTATATGCGAAATTATATACGGTAACGCAAAAAAGAGAAAAAAGAAAAGGGTAAACGAGGGTGCAATGATAAGGAGCTCTGTCGTAAAAATTGTTTTTGATTATCTTTATCAATAACAATTTATGCAATAGTAAATACTAAAAGTAAAGCAACGTATTTAAAATAATCTATTTTAATTTGGCATATTAATTAATAAAAATTTTGAATATATCAAAAATTAAAATTATATTCCTTGATGTTTTTCTTTTCTTTCGTTCCCGCTCATTACGACAGGTTAATTTTAGACCAATAATAGAAAATTTGCACTCATTTGCACTTGTTTGTTTTTTTCTAAAGAACTAGAATTGATAAATTTTAATTGAAGTTATAGTAATATATTAAAAAAATAGGAATAAATTATATAAAGATATACTATCGATTTATCCTCCACATTTCTATATATCCATAAAATAATATAATGGTGGACCAATGAGAATTTTTGGATAAAACTTCTCTGACGACCCTACTCGAATTTACTAGATAGGCGCTTTTAGAAAAAAAACAATCATCGGAATCATCGTTTTAGAATAAAATGAGGTATATTTATTTGAAAATTTAATATAGAATAATTTTATTTATTCAATATATTTAGTTCGCTCCGAGTACAAAAGCGACTCGCGTCATCAATTTTAAGTTGTGGCAACAAGAAAATTTGGCTTGATCCTAACGAAGCCAATGAAATTGCCAATGCTAATACCCGTAAGTTGCATCTTCATTAGATATAAGAATATTTAGCCCTTCAACAATCATCGATTTTTGATATTTAAAACATTGTTTTACATGTATAACATTAATCGATACACACGAAGGGGATATTAACTTTAAATTTCATTTGTCTTATTTTTTTATTGATTTTTATATTGAATCGATAAATAGCAAATATATTGAACAAAAATTATTATATAAATTCTTTTTCTTCTTCTTATTATTATTATTATTGTTGTTTAGGTCAAAGTGTACGTAAATTAATTAAAGATGGTTTAATTATTAAAAAACCAGTAGCAGTACACTCACGTTTTCGTACACGTAAAAATAACGAAGCTCGTCGTAAAGGTCGACATATGGGTCATGGTAAACGAAAAGGTACAGCCAATGCCCGTATGCCAACCAAGGTTTGTTCACCATTAAATCATATTTTGTTTTTGTATTAATTATATTTCTATTTAATTAGATCCTTTGGATTCGTCGTATGCGTGTATTACGTCGTTTATTGAAAAAATATCGTGCAGCTAAAAAAATCGATCGTCATTTGTAAGTTATATATTTAAAAATGAAGAAAATAAAACTAAATGAATTTAATATTAGATACCATGAACTTTACTTGAAATGTAAAGGTAACGTTTTCAAAAACAAACGTGTATTAATGGAATTTATCCATAAGAAGAAAGCTGAAGTACAACGAACCAAAATGCTTTCCGATCAAGCTGTTGCACGTCGTGAACGTACAAAGGAAAAACGTGTTCGTCGTGAACAACGTATTGCTCAAAAACGTACTGAACTTTTGGGTAAAACTAATGAAGATGATGATACAAATGTTGCTGTTCAACAAGCTATTGAACAACAAGCTCAACCAGCTGTTGTTGCTCCAGCTTCACAAGCTCCAAATAAAGAAAAGAAACAACAAGATAAAAAACAACAAGAAAAAAAACAACCACAAGCTCCAGCTCCAGCTCCAGCTCCAGCAACAGCAACAGCACCAACAAAACAACAACCAACACAACAAAAGAAGAAATAAAATCTTAATAAAAGCTGAGCATTGGACACAAATAACATTCAATGTGTCTTTTATCTCGTTTTTTCCATCGTCGTTTTATATCGAACGATGTTTTTGATTGCCTTCTGTTTATTACAATAAAATAAAAACAAGCAACCGCATATATAATAACAAAAAAATATAGAATATATATTTTATCATCAAAAAATCAAAATTCATTTTTGCATTTCAAATGTCTACTCAATTAAAAGAATAGCAATGAAAGATTATGTTATTTGTTTAAAGATTCAGTTCAAACAAATAATTTCTTAGTTATGTTTCATCAATAATCGCTTTTCTCTTATGTATTTATTTGCACTTTGAGATTAATAATCTTAAACAACATCAATAGATATTTTTCATTTCCTACTTATCATATAGTCCGACATATGTCTCGCATTTTTTTTACGATAATAGTATTTAACAGGATGTTGCTACTTATATTCAAAACGAGAATATCAGTAAAAATTCTCATCAATTTTATTTCTCGTTTCACGAGTATATATATATATATTTACTATACACTATAATTACTATAATAGGTTTACTTAATACGGTTCCAATTTTGTCCGTTAATTCATGAATATAATAGCCGACTCATATATATGTATGCTATTGAATAGTTTTATAAACCATTTATAGTATATGATTGTATGAAACAGCTCATACAAGATATATGACTATAAAGAAAAAAAAAGGAACTATTTAGTAAGTAGAAGACAACAAGTCGTACTCTATTATAAAAATTTTAAATTGAGCAAGATTTTCGATAAAAATCTTTCTTTCTTTTTTTTTTTGTTGAAGCAATAAATAAAAAGAATTAGTAATTGTATTTGATAAATCGTACTTGTTCACCTTTGCATGGATTCACTCAATTTATCGATTTAACAATAAGATAAAAGTAAATGATTTATTGTATTAGTATGGTTTCTCTTTCTATTCAGAGTGAATCATGTCAACTGTGTGATGAACTTAATATTCAATTGAAGCTTATATTATTCTCGATAAAAAGGTGATCGAATACATTTAATATTTTAAAAAAATTCATAAAATATAATCTTAAAAAAAAACGCGAAAATCAATCAATCGAAAAATATTAACAATTAGATTTCTCTCATTCCAAGAAAGAAATTAAACAAGTATTTCAATGATTTGTTAGAGATAATGATTATAGCAATGAAAACAATAGGAAGGTCATCTTATTGTTACAATCTCTCTTCATCCTAGACTGAAAGCTTCATTCTCTTTCGAAGGAGACCATGATAAATGTTATTGAAATCTTTATCAGTAATGAAATTGAGCTTATATATTATACTATTACTTCTTAGTAATTGTATGCATTGTAGAGAAGGTTTTCAATACAACAAAAAACCGTATATTTATGAAGGATAAAGTACTTAAAAAAATAGTAGTTCATATTGAGAGTTCATTTATTCAGTTGATTACATTTTCCAATTGCATATTTATATAATTATCATAAATAAACGAAATTTTTCTTCTAATGATACACTTTTAAAAACATAAAAATCATGTCTTTATCTTTAAAAAGAAATATTTGATATATAAACAAACTTTATTAATATTACTTTGACATAGTGAAGAAGTATTACAATGTGTCAAACTTTACTATAGATGAACTGTTCAAATAAAGACTTTTCTTCTCATTTTTCGTTCTCGCATCGTTTTTAATTGATCGAATGAATGAAAAATATACTAATAACAATTCAAATAAAGTTTCAATATTAGGAAGTTCTCATATATCTGTATCACATCGATTGGATCATCGTCAATGAGAAGTAACTGAATAATCAGCAAAACGAGATTTAGCTTGTTGAGCCTGGATATATGTATGTGCTTGAATTCTATTGCTTTATCAAATTGTTGTAATTGGAGCAGCCCTTGGGATTAAATGAGTAAAATCGTTATTCGTGCTTCTGTTCGATTCGTAATCATACTATGAGTATTTAAATATCGAATATCTATATATATATATATATACACGCAAAGCGAGAATGAGAGAGAGAAGAACATTTTACTAAATCTTACATCGTTCCTTGAAAACGTCCTATACTCTTTTTTTTTCATTTAAATCAGATGTTCGTTTTCTTTATTTTTTGTTCTTGTATTACTTCATCATAGAAAAACTAGATTTCTTTTTTCTTTTCGTTCAAAGTAAGTTCATCTCTGCCAAGGTCTTTTAAATGGTCAACTACTCTATTATTCTATGATTAGTAGTTAACAAAACAGGAAGAATAAGAGAAAGTCATATCGATGATGTAAATACGCAAGTAAATATCTAATTAGTACGTTAGAGCAACAATTCTTGTTTCGCGATGATTATGTAAAAAAAAAGAAAAGTTAAAAATATATATTATTTGTAATTTTTTTTCTTTATGTGTATCTGCTCCGAAAAGGTATATATATATATATACACACGCTCGTTATCGATCGGATGACTAACAAAAGCAAAAGAAAAGACGGCAGAACAGTCAACCTATATAAGGTCTTCAGTTTCCTTTTTTTTCAAACTACTATTTTGTACACGATTGCTACGTTTTAAACTTTTTTCCTTGTGTTCTTCTGATGATTTTTTTTCTCCTCCCATTTCTATAGAAGCTGTTATTCTTGTTGATCAGTACCTAAAAGGCGTAGTATATGTTAGTATGACAGTCAACGATATATATATATATACGTTCTCCTTTCCTTTTTCTTTTTTTAGTACAGGTATATAAAAAGACTCACATCTCATTTTTTAACGTCAATGCGGAAAGAAAACGAATGACGATTACTTTCGTTTTTTTTCCTTTGAAATTTCTGAAAAAAATTGTACAAGACAAATTTGTATATTTACATTTCTTTTTCTTTCATTTAATCTGATAAATGATGATAAATGACTAACAAGCAAACGAGTGCATATATGTCTACACTGTTTTGTTGTTTTAATCATGTGCACATTACACTACTACTACTAAACGATTCTTTTCTCCGGTTTTTTTTCCTTTTTTTTTTTTTATTTTCGCTAACGATGAAAGTATTTCGATTATCTACGTTGTTTGCTTTTCTTTGACAGTGAAAGGGAATAGAAGAAGAAAAAAAAAAGAATAACAGACAATTGAGAACAGTATCTTGAAAGAGGCAAGGTGACGATGTCATTGTTATACATACATATGAACAATAGAGTGAGAAACAACAGTTAGAAAATGAATAAATATATTTTAGTTCTTTTTATTTAGAATTGTTATTTCTATTGTTTTTTTATTCAAGGTACTTGGTAAACATACTATAGTGATCATTATTATTACTATTATTATTATTATTATTATTACTTTTTCTTCTTCTTCTTCGTCATCTCAATACAATTCAAATACATTAATCCAAATTCGTTAAGATTTCCTTGTGATTATTTCGAACAGCGTCAAATTACATACAAGGTGTACACGCGGCACTTACATATATAACATATACACATATACGAGTCGATTGAAACTCATACTTCTCTCTCTCCTTTCTTTACTCTCTCCATACGTGTGCTTAGATCGATCGTTTCGTATTGAAAAAAAAAACGAAGAAGAAGAAGACGACGACGACCGACCGACAACGACAGATCAATGAAACTCATTGTCACTGTCATTATTCTCTATTCATCTTTTAACTATTGGAAAAAAAATTAAAAACAAAAAAGAATAAATTTATCAATTCTTCAAATATATATATTAGAAATCAAATCAGTAAGTTAAAAAGATTGTTTCTTTGCTTTTATGATCGTTTTCTTTTTATTACTACTCCATATTTGACTAGTTCATGCGTATTATAACATTCATGTGTGAACAGAAATTCCATATACTTAACGATTTGTCGATTATTTTATATCACGATAAACTTTATATTTTTTTCTTTGCAAAAAAAAATAATGATATCATTCATGAGTAAGATAATATGAGAAGAAAAGAATAATAATAACAATCATATCAGTATGTTATAATTCTTCTTCTTCTTTTTTAAATTACTTTTCTTTCTTTCTTTCCCTTTCTTGTGGTTATATAAAGTAGTTAAAGAGAGAAAAAGAGGACAAGGATAGATAATAAAACTTCATCGTTAAGATTTATTTCTCTCATCTATCGTATAGCGGGCAAAAAAACAAGCTTTGCATTTTGTTTTAGAGGAGCTTGTCTATATTCGAGTACAACATACGTAAGTCACTATTGAAATGTGAGAGAAGAATAACGCCTTTTGTCCATGATTACTGTTAAGAAAAAGAGAGAGAGATAGAAAGAAAGAAAAATTATCTTTCATGAATTTATGATTGATGTTTTATTACCACCACCCATGCGATATTGAACAGTGGGGATAAACTTTCATATTAAATGATTAGAAATGCAGACATCAACTGTTCTTCTCTTTTTGCACTTTATCGAATTTAAATGAATCTAAGACACTCGTTTTGCTCTATCGAGTGCGAAAGATAACCTCATTGAATATTAGTTCTTTACTTTTTTAGTGCCATATTTGTAAATGATCAATATATATATCACATACATGTGACGAATAGAGACATTCTTTAACATTTTTTTTATGTAAAAAAATAATCACGCGACTTCACTAAGGTGTTATTATTACAAGTATAAAAAAAATAGAAGTGCAGAAAAAGTTGAATTTTATAAAAACAAACGAACTCTTTTTTATTTTTCTTCTCGATTAATGGCACTGCATATTTAGGGTATCTTGTAAATTATAAAGAAAGAAATGATAATGATGATGATAATAATACTGATCTAACGATCAACTCTAAGTCTATAAGAGATGCTTGATTGAATTCGACTGTCTAAGCTCTATACAAACATGCAGGCATACACACACACATACACATATTTATATACAGACAGAAAAAGGACAACACCTTGAAGCGTTTGTACATTGACAAGTGGCACAATTGTATTGATCCGCATTTATATGTTTATGCATGCATCCATGCGCATAAAGATAGATTCTGAAGAGAAAGAAAAGAAAAGTGAAGTAGATATGTTGTTTGACTTAGTTGACTGTCTGTAGTTGCACTAAATATATACTGCAAGCAAATATATACATATATAAATCTCTGTATATATACATATTTATATAAAATTAATATTAATAAATAATATTTTAATAGTAAAAAGCAAGTAAATGAAGTTTATCTTTAGATAAATATGAGTTTAAAAATAATGTTAGTATATATATCATTTATATTGATTTTTTAAATATAAGTAATACTTTAAATAAGTCGTTTATTACTTCTATTTGACCTTGCTATGTATATGTGTAGAACTAAGAAAAAAGAGAACAAAAAAACATAGAATAATATAGAAAGTTGAAGAGAAAGATGAATGAGTTAAGTCAATACCAATAGTAATGATATACATAAGAAAAATTTACTATGATAAAGAGCTTTAATAATAAGAATTTATACAATTGGTAAGTAACAAAAAAAAAAAGATTTACATTTTTATTCTATTTTTTTACAACTTTTGTCAAGTGTATTGAGATAAATAGTGAGTGTATACGACAAGTTTTTCTTTTAAGATATCGTAAAAAACCATCTATTGAATAATACTATTGATATTTGAATAGTAGTATATTGCTGTCATTGACAAATCTTATTCAATAAAAAAAACAATATTATCATAATATAGATTCTTTTTCTTCTCTTGTCGATTCATACTATAATAATTTTCAACAACTAGAAAATGTCACTTAAAAATAGATTTAATAAAAACAACATAATTGAATTTTAAATGAAGATAGTGAATCATTCTCTTTTTTCTTCCTAATTGATATGTTCGTGATTCGTATACGGCAAAGAACAAAGTATAAATTTTAATAGCTACTATCACTATGTATTCGATCATTTTACACATACCTATATTAGATATCATCATTTATCATATGCTTATTAACGATATAAACTAATAGTATTCAAATGAATTTATTATACTAATACTAAAAATCCTTTTGAAATAACAAAGAAAAATAACAAAATACGAATATATTTGATGTAATTATTCATAATATAGAGTCATATAATGACGAAGGTAATATTAATGATAAAATTATCTATTATATTTGTTTTTTTTTTCGTAATCAAATTTACGATCTATAGATCACTATCTATATAATTATTCGAAAGAAAGACTTTTTTTCTGTATATAATTTTCATTTGCTGACTAATTTCTAGAAAAAATTCTAAAACGGAAGTATGACATATGAAGAAAATAAGGGAGTAGAGAGTGTATGCATATAAATGATATCGATGTCGACATAAACCACAAAAAATATATATATGATTCTTTATTATTATGTTTGTTTTTTCTTTTCATTTTTCTATACATAAAAAAAGAAATAATCGTATAGATTTTTTTATTTTTGTTTCGATCCATTCATGCATATCAATTAAATATAGAGAAAAATATGTTTTGAGAGTAATATTCTAAAAGAAAAAAACTTTCGATTAGAACAAAATTATTGAAAAGGTTATCAATACAATCTCATTGTCTTCTTGTCTATATGTGTTCATATTGGAGCGTGCCATATCTCTTTCTATAGAGTTAGAACAAAGAAAAATGAAGTAAAGGTTAAACACAAGACATTTGAATGGTAATAGTAAATATGCCATCGACAGCATAACCATCACCATCAACACTAACCACTTGATCATGTTGTGGCAATGATGATAGTGAAGACGAATCATTCAAATGAATTTCTTCTTTTTCTTTCTCTCTCTTCTACCATTTATTTCGTTTTTTTTTTACATTTATTTGTTCGATGAAGAAACTTTATCTCTTCTTTGCTCGCTCTCTCTCTCTCCTATATTCCATTTTCTTTTGCCATCATTGAGTGCCACAAAATGTGCTTGATGTTGTTCGAGCGAGAAAAAGACACACATATAAATTTATATAGATATCGAAAGGAATTTGTTCTTTTCTTTCTTTGTTTTAAATAAGACAAGAACCGTACATAACGTACATTACTCTTTTTTTCCCGTTTTTTTTGTCTCTATCTCCATTTCTCTGTACTTTTTCTTTACCCTAAGGGAACAAACAAATAGGAGAGATATATTATACGATGATGATGATAATGATGTTATTATTTAGAAGGTAATGGCCTTTCAATAAAACTGTGTGAAAGAGTGGGAAAAAAATGAATCGAAAAGAAACACACCGAGAGAGAGATAGAGAGGAAAATGTGTGCAAGGAAGAAAAACGAAATAGCTAAACGACGGCGCGTCGGGTCGATTTTGAATAAATGTCCTTCATATATTTCATAGAGAAAAAAAAACAAAATGGACGGGAAGAAAGGAGAAAGATAAAGAAAGCTAGAGAAAAGTTATCGAAGCGTATCGGTTAGCATTTTCATTTTTGCTGCATTCTTTTTTTGTCTTGCTTTTCGTGCTTAACGATTAGATATACATATATGTATGTTGACGAACAGTAATAGTAAGCACAAATAGATAGTATAAGACGTGGTAACAACAACCACTGTAGTTTTTGTTCCACACAACAACTAATCATTCGTTTTTTTTTGATCAACACAAGCAGACAAACAGGCAGGCGAGCACACACACACACATACACATTTCAAGGATATCACATTTCAAAATAGGGCTATAGGGCTAGACAGGGTTATACAAAAAAAAAGAAAGAAAGTAAGAATGTACATAGTTTAGTACAACGATGATTTTTATTAAATATGTAGTTTTGAAAGGTTTCTTTTTAAATTAATATTTCACAAATTTCTTTTTTTTTCTCTTGTATTTCATTTTGTTTTGTTTTGAAACATTAGAAGTCAAGTGGTTAAACAGCTTAGATTGTATGTACTTCTCTTATTCACTACTTAGACCATTTTAGTCCTTAATATATAGATAAAAGAAACTAAGTACGTATGCATTAGTCAGTCAAATAGAAGAGATAAACCAACTATTGTATTGTTTAGTTCAAATGAATTAAATTCGAACATTGAAGTGAAAGAAAATCTTTTTATTTTGTTTTTTTCTTACTTACGAAATTAGTGTCTTTTTTTTATTACAGAAAAACAATTCAATTTCTTATTTCTAGTTAATGTTATCATCTATTTGCCGATTCGTCTAGTCGTTATTTAGACTAAATATTAAATAAAAAGGAACTTCTCCCGGTAGAAAAAAAAATTTGGACTGAATAAACTATAAAAATCAATATGATGCAAGTTGGAACAAATCAATCAGCTACTTATCATAGTCAACCAGCACTATCTTCATCAGGTGGACAAACAGGTCGTTCATCATCAACATCTCGTCAACAACAACAACAACAACAACAACCACAATATGATAATGAACAATTAGCAAATATTCGACCACGCATATGTATTTTACGTAAATGGCCACATTATGATGGTAAGAAAATAAATAATTTCTAAAATATTAAAAAAAAACTATGATTCTTTTTTGTTTATAGGTTATGGTGTTCATTTAGCACGTAATCAACATTGGCTTGGTTTACGTATTGGTGATGTTGAACCAAATAGTCCAGCTGAAAGTGGTGGTCTTTTACGTGAAGATGTTGTTCTTGCTGTAAACGGTCATTCAGTTGAAAATGATGATTTTTTTGCTATACTCTCATTTATTCAACATGAACTTGAAGCTGATCAAATTCGTTTTCTTGTACTTGATCCTCAGAATGCAGATTTAGCTCGACATAATAATTTACATATCGATGAAAATCATCGAGCATGTGTTCGAATGGAAACACCAACATTAACTGTAAGTCCAGAAAAAGTTTTATATGATCAATGGCGTGCAACAAATAATGTTGATCCAACAGCAGCACAAAATACAGTTCATCTTGGACCAACACTATCATTAAATCAAAATCAAAATATTCCAAATACTCAACGAAATCAACAAAGATCTTCAAATGATAGAAATGATGATGTTTATACATTCTTACCATATTCAGGTATGTTCTGATTTTTAAACAAAAAAGAAAATACTTCAGATTATTACTATAAGCTTTATTTTACAAACATAAGAAAGACATATTTGATTCTATTTTTTTCTATCTCTGATTTACTCTCTCTCTCTATAAATATCCTATGAACAAAGTAAACTATTACAGATCGTGCACTTGAGAACGGCAAATCATTTTTTGAAATACTCTTCGAACAAAATGATCATCCATCATCAAAACAAGACAAAGACCAACGGGAAGGTGACCAAGAAAATGAACAACAACAACAACAACATCCACGTCATACTACATATGATCCATCTAATAAGCATTTTACCGGTGATAATGATAATAGTGGAGATCATAAAGACAAAACCCATGGTAGTCAAATCAAAGATGGTATTAAAAATATCGCTAAAGCAGGCATTGACAATCTTAAATCTATTTTACCGACAAAAACTCACGATGATAATGATTCTAAACATAAACCTAGTAGCGGATCAATAGATCATTCTTCTAGTAGGGATGATTCTCCAACATTTATTGACAAAGTTAAAGATAAATTGAAACCATCAGCACACAGTCCTACAAATACACCGAAACAACAAAAACAATCACAGCCATATGAAAATATGTGGCAATCATCATCTCAGTCACCGCAGCAGGGTAGGAGATGAGAAAAAATATTAAAGAAAAAAAATAAAATGCTTTTGGTTATGGATGCTGCTTATCTATTTGACTAGTATTTCTTTCTGCGCATGACTATGCATGAAACTAAAATTAAATTATTTTATTTTTCTATATAGTAATTGAATATTCTATTTTTAGACACAAATAACAATTTAAGCGATGAACAACCACGTTTGTGTTCATTACATCTTCGATCTGGCGATACAATTGGAATATCATTACAACCTGATAATGATTTTAGTCATATTATAAAACAAGTTGAACCAAATTCTCCAGCTGGTCGTGCTGGTATTGAAAAAGATGATTGTATTATAACACTTAATGATATACCACTTCTTCGTGTTTCATACGAAGAAGTTTTAAATACTCTTAAAAAATCTCGTGATGAACCAGATCTTGATTTTCTTGTTGCAAAAAAATCTTATCTACTTAAATCACGTAAAGATAAAACAGCTGTAGGTGAAGTTTTACCATCATCAAATTTACCGGACAGAAATAGTTCATCAACTATACCACCAGCACAAGCATTGGAACAACTTTATGATAAATATAATAAGGACAAGAAACCATCATTTGATGAACAAACAAATTCGAATAAATCAAGAGAAACAGTTTCGACATCAACACCAAATAATCGATATGATCCAAATTCATCAGATTCAGATAATAATCGATATCCATCAAAACCACAACAAGGACAAATTTTACATGGTGTTGGACCAGCTACAGCTGATCAATCATCATGGGGTGGAAAGTCAAGTGATGATTTTCGTGTACCAGCTAGTGGTGATTCATCAACTCGTTCAACTTCACGAGATCGACGACCAGGTTTGTATATATATATATATATATTTGTCTTTTAATTACAAATATTTTTGAGTAACATTTGCATGACCTTTCTATAGTTTTTCTACAAAGAACCTTTAACTAAAAATAACATTTCTTTTTAATAGATGCTGATGATATCAAAGGACGTAATAGTTCAGTAGAAGATTCTTTTAAACCTTTACAAGTTGGAATTACTAATCCAACAGCATCACAACAAGCATCTGGAAATGTTTCACCTAATCTTGTTGACGATCGACAACGTGGAGGTCGACCAACATCATATGATCAACGAGATAATTCAACAGGAGCTTTACCAAGCCCTGGTACAGCAGCTGGAGCAAGTAATCGTGGTGATACAACATCTTCGCAACCATCACGATCAAATCAAACAATTCAAAATATTACAAATGCTGTACCCATTGTAGCTGGTCAAGGATCATCTCCACGAAGTGACTATGATCAAGGTTTATTAAATATATACTTATTTTTTGGGTATGAGTGTAATATCTGTTTTATTTTTTTAGGAACCTCTCAAAATACTCCATCAACTCAATCAGATGCTCGTTTAGGTAAGTTGTATTCTAATATTTCTATTTAAAACTTTTAAATACATAAAAACAAATTGAAAAAAACTAAAAGAATGAATGTGACTATACAGGCGTTACCAAAGCGATGAGTGTTCCGAGTAAACCTCCCAAAAGCAATGTACTTACGGCTGTCTATAGTGATTCAGATGATGACGATTTGTCTGATATATCAGAAAGATCACGGGAAGAAGATATATCTGATCCGGTTATTCACAAAAATTTACCATCTCATGCTACTACGACTGGAGCTACAGATAACAAAATAAACCAATTATCTGCTGATTTATCCAAAGAAATTATAAAATCAGGTCTTCATTCTCCAGAAATTTCATCCAGAGCTTCAGCATTAGGTCTTCGTACATCAGAAACGTCACCTAATTCAACAAATCAAAATTCAAATTTTAATAAAGATCTGAACGAGAAACAAGGACTGACTTCAGTAAATCCAAATGCTAATCAACAATCAACGACATCGCCAGCAAATGTTAAAACAAGTGGAGATGGTCGTACTTTAGAAAGATCTGATAGTGATGATACTATATCTGATATACCACCGATCGGATCATTAACAAATCCACAACAGAGTGTACAAGCTCGTTGTCTTGAAAAATTTGCTAGTAATGAATCTCTATCGGAAGCCGGTAAACAGAATATCGTTGCATCACCAGATATGAGAACAAATGTTCAAGCTCGACGTCTTCAAAAATTTGCCAGTGATGATTCTATATCAGAGGCTGGTAAACAACCAACTTCATCAGCAAGAGATATGAAACCGATTGTACAAGCTCGTCGTCTTGAACAATATGCTAGTGATGATTCTATATCGGAGAGTGAAGTACCACCAATCGGATCATTAACGAATACCCAATCGAATGTACAAGCCCGACGTCTTGAGAAATATGCTAGTGATGATTCTATATCGGAGGCTGGTAGACAACCGACTGTAAAAGCTCGTCGTCTTGAGAAAACCGATAGTGATGATTCTGTATCGACTACTAGTATACCGCCAATCGCTTCATTAACGAATAATCAACCGAATGTACAAGCTCGTCGTCTTGATAAATCTGATAGTGACGATAATATTTCAGGTGCTGAATCTCAAGCAACAAAACAATCTGCTGCCGATACATTTTATTCACCTGTTGAATCAGTCGATGATGCAACTGATACTGAAGAACAACCAGCAGATAGTTGGCATCAACGTGTAAAAAAGGAAATCAATCAAATTAGAACTCCGGATAATAAACAAACTCTGTCTCAAGCAAGAACACAAGATGAAAGTGATGATGATGACGATAGAAGTTCTTCTGAAGAATCTGAAAGTCAGAAAACACCATTACCAAGAGGAAAAATGGCGTTCGGTGAGCCAGATACATATATACAGCTTGGTTGTAAACGGTTTATATACTAACACTATGTGTGTTTGTGGTGTATCTCTTTTTATGCCTATTTCATAATTGAATTTGACCGACATAACAGCTTTCTTCTTAGAATGTGTTTTTTAATCCCTTTCTTTTTCTTATTTAACACTTCTTTCAAATAATCGATACATTTATTCAACTTTATTTTTTTTATAGCTACATTACCACTATCCGAATTAAAAGATTATGGTTATGATTTACATGATATACAATTAATGCAACCAACTGAAACAAGTCCAGTTGGTCTAAAATTAACTAAGCAACATGATCCATTACAATATATTATAACAGCTGTTGCTAAAGGAACAAAAGCAGATTTAGCTGGTCTTAAAGTTAATGATTGGCTTATTAAAGTTGAAGATAAAGATGTACGTTTAGTTGAATTTGCTGAAGTTTCACAAGATATTCGGCAATTATTAACTAATGCTGGTTTAATTAATATGGTTGTAGCAAGAAAGAAATCACCAACATCATCACCAACAATTAAACCAACTGAACAACTACGATCACCATTACCATCAACAGTATCAAAACCAGAATCAATTAGTCGTCAACAAGGAGGTATTTATGATTTTTCAATAGAATAAAAAACTTTTGATCATACGTTTATTGCTCTGTTTAGGTCAAATTCCAGCATCATTATTAACAACCGATATTACACGCGATACACCTGATAATAATCAAGTTCGTTTTATACCTGATAAATCTCAACATTCACCACCAACACATTCTCCACGTTCACCAGTTTCAACACATGTTAACGCACCTGGTGGTCCATTATCAGTTGGCATAACAAATCCAATATCGGATGAAAATCAAACAAGATCTCCACGTTCACAAAGTCAATCGCCACGTCATTCACCAACACGTGCATTTACTGTTAATCGACAACAAGAAGCATCATTAACTGATGAACGTATGTTTTCATTTATTTTCTTTTTCTATTTTATTAATCTTTCTTTCTTTTCTTAAAGCAGCATCCGATGAAATTGATCCAAATGATATTCGTAAAATTGAATTAAAAGAAGCATTAGGATTAGATTTTAATTCATTTATACCTGAAGGTGATAGTAAAATTCAAACACATTTTATTAGTAATGTTCAACCATCATCAATGGCTGATAAAGCTGGTTTACGTGATGGAGATCGTATATTAACAGTTAACGGTTATGATGTTAAAAATGCTATACATGAAGATGTTCGTCGTATGATGCAAGGAAAAAAACCATTACAATTAACAGTTGTCAATGATCCAAAATATTTAGAATTAATTGAAAATGTCAAACGTAATCAACCTAAAGGAGAAGGTACAGAAGATAGTAATAATACTTTACCACCCGATTATGAAACAGTAGAGCAAGAAAAATCGGGTGGTGGTGTGAGTGGTAAAATGATTGTTTTTCTATTATGATTAGAATTATCGATCTATATTTTTTGTTTTTTTTCTTCTTTGTCTTAGATGTAACTAGTCGTAATCGTTCAATAGGAAAAAGTGTTACTAGTGATTCAGGTAGTGATTCAAATGTCGTACGTTCAAAACCCGGATCACCAAAATCAATCAATGATGATCTATCAAAAGATTCTAATGCTTTATTTGTTGATGATAAAGGTCCCGTTCAAGGAAAACATTGTATTTTAAAAAAAGATCCAAGTTATAATGGTTACGGTCTTTTATTACGTTATCAAAATGGTCTTCATTTAATAGATCAAGTTGAAGAAAACTCTCCAGCTTATAATTGTGGTTTACGTGAAGATGATGTCATTATATTTGTTGATAAACGAAATGTTGAACAAATGACACATGATGACGTTAAAATACTTATTCGAAAATTATCATTATCAAATACAAATATTGATTTAATATTATTGAGAAAAAATGATATGGCACGATATAAAACTTATCAAGAAAAAAATACTGTCAATTGGCAACCACTTCTTCAAGATAAACTTTATCATGAAATACAACAAAGTAGGCAAATCACATATCGACGAAAATCATATTATAATAAATCATAAAAATTAATTAATCTTTGCATGATAATATATGTTTATAATATATAACTAATTTAGCCTTGTATTTTTTGTTTAATTGCATGTCTTCTTTTGCCTGTGTGTTTCTTCCTTTTCAAAATCTTATAGATTATGCTTAGTATGTGTGTATTTGTGTATATTTTATCGTATACTCTAATCTAACAAAAATAAATAATCAACACTTGTCTTTTTGCATGTCACATACTTATGTAACTATACTAACTCTTTGCATGTACACTATTTCAATAACAATGGATTATATTTACCATTGGGCTTAGCCATACATTCATTATTCTTCTTCTTTTCTTACAGCTGAACAACACGATACTGATAATAGTCGTTCAATAGATGATCCAGTAAGTGTTCCACGTAAACAATCAGTAACATCATCATCAGGTAAACAACAAGCACCAGCTCCACCAACATCATCAGCTACTACACGTGTTTGTACTTTATATCCATCTGCTGAACGTACGGCAGGCTTTGCACTTAGTGGTAAAGCTCCTCCTCCATATGTTATTTGTCAAATTGAAAAAAATTCTCCTGCTGAAAAAGCTGGTTTACTTATTAATGATACACTTTTATCAATAAATGGAAAATCAGTTACTGATATAAGTTACGAAGAAACAGTTAAATTAATTAAAGAAGCACTTCAACAAAAAAGTGTTGAACTTGTTGTTCGAGATCAAGCCAACGATAATAAACAAGATCAAAAAAATATTAAAGTCGAACGTCAATCAACAACGAGTGATCAAAGATATAATTCTATGGGAAGTAGTGATAGCAATGCTTTAGGAAATCTTGGTAATACTGGAGGAGGAGAAGCAGGTGGTCGAGATGCCAATACAGTCGAACAATATCAAAGTATGTAAAAAATTAAACTATTAAAAAAAAGAATGCTTGAAAACTTTTTATTGGGGTTCTATTATTTCTCATCTGAAGCTTTTGAACAACACTACCCAATGCTCACGGATGCCTTTGCATGATAAAAAACAAAAAAAACCTTTCTTAACTGACTATTGATATAATGATTTCAGAGCTTATTAATTGTATGTTTTTATCTTTTCCCTATTTCATCAACAATGGTCAAATTTTAAACAAAAAAAAAATTTTTTTTCTTTCTCTTTTTCAAATGGTGTATTGTGCATTTTAGCTGCTGCCGTTGTGGATGGATAGGGGATTAGTCAACCTATATTGTCTTTTCACACATTCTCTAAGCTTAATACTGATGACAATAAATGCCGCTTGTTTCTTGACACTTTACAACACCAATTCTCACCAAAATAAACATACTCTAATAATTTCTTGTTTTTTTCGTTTTTTTCTCTCTCATTTAAGATCGAGGCAAGTCTTCCTCCTCCGCCGACGGCAGCAGCGTTCGTACGAAGAAATAAATTCCGATCGTAATCTTCAATGAGAGACTAATCATCATTAATATATACATAATGTATATATATATATCTACTTAATTGAAAAAGAAAATAGAACATTTTTAATATAAAATATATATGCTCAAGGCAAGTTTTGCTTGAACTATTATAATTATTTCTTTTTTTTTGGCTTTAAAAAATTGATCCTGTTCGTTTGCCTATATTTTTTGCAATTTGGAGCTCTATTTTTTTTTATTATTATTATTATTACTAAGTTCCAACTGCTTTTGCTCATTATTTAGTTCGGCATGTATTTTTGTTCTTTTTTTTTCTGCTGCTTTTTAGAACAGCGAAATAAAGAATTATCATATACGTTACGTCTTTGTCATTTACATCCAACTAATGGTGATGGTACACAAGCAGCAACATTTGGTTTTGAATTAAGTGAAGAACCTGATTATGAATATCCATTAATATTACGTGTTAAACCACAATCACCAGCTGAAGGTGCTGGTTTACAATCACGTGATATATTATTAAAAATTAATGAACGTAAAACCAAAGGTTTAGGTTATGAAAAAGCTAAAAAAGAAATTGAAAAAGCTAAACGTGATGGTCGATTGGAAATGCTTGTTGTCGATCAAGAAACATTTGATTATTGTAAACGTTCAAAGAAACCATTGAAAGAACCTGAAATGAAAGTGAAACATATTTTTCCAAAAAGTAGGTCATCAGCAAGTTTTCATAAATTACCTGTTGCTGGAGCAACATCTTCATCACTTTCATCACGAGAAGATAGTGGAGAACAGTTAAGTAATAGTATTACTAAACAAGATGATAATAATCCATATTCTCATCGTACATCGGATGCTTATCGTCTTTCGGTATCAAAAGAAACGGATTCTGAGAATGAAGATGAAAAACCAAATTTATCGCGAGAAAAATCATCTCCTGAAATTTCATCACAACCTAAAACTGCACGCAATTCAGAAGCACCAGTTAAGTTTGATTTAACTACACCAACGAATGTTACTACTGATCAGCATCATCATAATGAACAACCTTTGAAATTTCGTAATCGTGATGAAGTTACAGCACAACGCACAAGTGATTCTTCAGCTACAAGTCAAAATGCACCTAATTTATCACGATCAGCAACATCACTACAACAGAAATCTGCTAAAGATTCAAAAGGATCAAAAGCAAAAGCTATACCACATGCAATTAATAATTTATTTCACAGAATTGGACATTCAAAATCATCAAAACGTTCGTGATTAATTTATGTCTTTTTCTTTTCTTTGCATGTAGCTATTTGGATATTCTCTATTTCATCTCATTATTCTCATTAATAATATTTGTAATTTGTTATTTAAAACGTAGATTTTTTTGTAGGTTTTCTATATTTATGTCTATTAGTATAACTTCTTTACATTGTTATTTTCTTACTTTGCACACACACACACACAGAAAAAATGCACATTTTGCATGTTCAGCACTAAATATCACTACAACTACTATAGATAAAAGCGAATATATATATATACATATATATATATATTTATTCATATTGCACGCACATCATGGACAGCTTGATATGTCTTTAGAAACGATATAATCACGGTAGGTTATTCAATGATTTCACTTAGATATTATTGTAATGTAGATAGTTTTAGAATAGAATTTAGTAATACTTTATATTTTAGAATACTTTGCACGTTGATTCTTTTTGTATTGATATAGACTATAATATGTACACAGATTTGATTAATGATAGATATTTTTCTTATCCTTGGCGGATGAAGATGATTTATATACTACAGATAGAGTGATGTCTTGACAAAAAACTCAGTGGAAACTTTCATGAGTAATGAAAAAAGTAAAAACTATTGAGTTTAAACATACTATAGTCGTGAGTAAGATTAATTAAGATCGAATTCTTTTTGTAAATGAAAAAAGATTATATATATGTCATAGTAATTCGCCAGTTATTATATTTTTTATTTCTTTTTAGCTGATTATGATACTTCAATAAGACCAACGGTTAGTTCAAAGGGACGTGCACCTTCGCCACCATCATCTCGTATTGAACATAATCATTTTGATTCACCATATGTATCACAATCACTCGATACAGTTATCAATAATCCAAATACTACTGTACCTGCTTCATCTATTCAAGATACAGTACGTTCAACAGTATCAACTGGATCATTTGATTATTTGAGAGGTCCTCGCCGATGTGTACTCAAAGTAGATCGTAATAAAGGTCTTGGATTTGTTCTTAGTGCCACCGGTGATTTTGATCATACAATTACTGCTGTTGAAAAAGTTAGAATATTAATTATGACTATAATTTGGTTTATTATAAATATATCTTTATTTTCTATTCAATAGTATTCAGCAGCTGATGCAGCTGGTTTACAAATTAACGATGAAGTCTTGGAAGTCGATGGTGTAGATGTACGAACTGTTAAATATGAACAAGTATGTATATATTTAATATTCTACAAAAAAAAACGAATATTTTTTTATTCAGGTAGTTGAAATGCTCGTATCTGCAATGCGAACAAATGATACTATTGACATGCGTGTTATTGATGGTCGTTCTCGTGATGTTTATCCATCGACAACTGATGTTGATAAACAAACAAATACAAATCATATATTAAATAGCAATAATAATAATAATAATACAATAACAGGATCAACGACTCATTCACAACGTACAACAGCTGTTTTAGGTGATGATATATCTGATATAAACAGTTCAATTAGTCCATTTGATAGTCTTAATCAACAAAAAATTGCTACAAGTTATCCAAATTTACCTGGCCAATTAAAACATTTTGATAATTTTACCAGTCGTGCACTTAGTGGAAGTGTACCTGCACTTGCTACTGGTATGTACCCATTCTAAATCTTTCTTTAATCATTTATTTCTCTTTCTTTAGGAATTACAGCTTCGCCAGGTGCTCTTCATCATGCAAAAAGTATTTCAACTTCATCTGAAAGTAAATTTATTTTTCATTTTTATTTAAACTATAATAAAACTCAATTTCATTTTATTCTATCTATTAATAGAAGGTTCAATAACTAGATTATCAGATATTTCATCACAAGATGCACCTGTTGCACGTCTTTGTCGTGTTCGAAAATTTGCATCATCGCCATTCTATGGTTTCTTCTTATGTGGTGATCCAAAAAAACTCGGGTAATAATCCTCCCGTTCGAACTTTCTTTTTTCAATCATACTATTATATTTGAATTTATTTCAGTCGAGTATTTATTTCCGATGTAACAAAACATTCACCAGCAGCTGTTTGTGGTTTACGTGATGGTGATCGAATTATTGAAATAAATGGTTTAACTATTCATACATTAACTTATGAAACAATCTTAGATAAAATCAAACAACATATGGCACGTGATGATCTTGAATTACTTGTACTTGATAAAAAATCTGTGCATTGGTATCGTGAAAGAAATTATCCAATAACATCACGAACATTACCAACAATTGTTCATATTGAACCAATTATTAATGATACAACTTCAGACATACAATCATCATCAGAACTACCGTCTACACATACGAAAATGGTTGGATTTGCAGGTAAATTAATTTTATTTATATATAGAGAGAACTTTTTTTTCCAAGATGTTATTCTTTAGATCGACGAGTATCGAAAACGGGTCTTTAATTTAAATGATTTTATACTTATTAGAAAAATATACAGAGTTTTAAGTGCTTGCCTCGTTTTCTTTTTCATTGTTTTTTTCTTCTGTATACAGAAATGTTTATGTACACCGTGTATGTTTTTACTTTTCTTTACTAAACAACCAAAAAATTTAATATAATAACTGTAGTGTGTAGTCTTCTCTTCTTTTTCCAACAGGAATTTGTCATCTGCCTCACATGTTCTGTTTTTTTTTCTTTAAGAATTTTATTGTACTTTTTCTTTTCTTTTTATGTATGAATATGTACGTTTTCTTTTGTTCTGTCTTGTTGTTATATTCTTGTCGATTTGTTTTTTTGTTTTGATCTTCTTTTTCTGCGTATATAGTTGTATTGTATGTGAAAAGAGAGAAAGATAGATAGTGAAGTATTCGCACATTTACACACATACATGTGAGGGTCAGATTCGTTAAAAAATGCACTTTCTTTTTTTTTCTTCTTCTTCTTCTTTACCTACAATTCATTTCATAGTTCATTTTCGTATAGTAATATGTTGTCCATTTGATCTATAAAAATTTAACATATGTCTTTAAAGAAATTTTAATGAAATGAAATTAGAATCTTTATTATATTGAATATTTAATATAGATATTCTTTTGATATATTGGTTTACTTTGAAATTTTTATAAGTTACAAGTTATCATTAATTGTCATTTTTAATCATGAATTATATGTTTTTATTATCAGATTATTCTTTTGATATGTTTCAAAAAATATAGTGAGAATAGAAAGAGTTTAGATATTTCTCAAAAATTCAGTCAGTTTATTGTACTTATTTATTATCAAGCTTGCAACTGATATAATGAGAGCAGTTAATGTGTGGTAGTCTTTACATTACTTTACTAGAGAAAATAAGAAAAATATAAATTTAATTGTATGTACGAATAAATACAACAGAATAAGCCGATTTTATCAGATTCTGAAATTGATCTATAAAATACAAATATTTAATAATGTTAGAAACAGTCTTTTGATCAAAGAATTCTCAACGAATTGTCATCAATATATGAATCAATATCCGTTCCACCATGTCGAATAAAATTCATTCTGTACTGTATACGGCGAGTGCCTACTGGAAGACTTATTGTACTGGAATATAAACACCAACCTGGATTAGTTCCACAAATTTGTGGACCAGAATCTGCAGCGCTGCTCAAAGTGGCATTCGTAGCTGATCGAAAAGTAACAACCACTTGAGCAGCATCAGTCGAAAGAAAAAAGTTATAATAGTTCTGATAATAAAATATAATTTCTACGTGTAACGTTCCTGAATCAAGTTGAGCAGCACCAAAGTTCTGTGTGCCACCAAGTAACTCAACATTTTGATAAAGACCTGCCGATGATCCACCAGCACCAAAACCACCAGCAAACATTCCACTACCTGATCGTGGATTATAACCGCTATTGATCGTGCCACCCGTATCTTGGATAGCAGTAGCCGGACCACTCTGAGTCCAACCAGAGAGAACAGATTCTGCGCCTGGATTTACTAATAAATTAGGTGGAACCATCGTAGTTGTAGCTAGAACAACAGAAGTCAATATTTCATATTATACTTATACAAATAAATGTTCAGATTATTAAATCTTTACTTGTTGTTCCTATAAATAGAAAAGAAATGGTATGCAAAATTTCTGTAAAAACTAATCTCTATAGATATATACTAGTTGTACTTGTTGTACTTGTTGTACGGGTTGTAGTAGTTACTGACGTCGATGAAGTTGCTAAATATTGACAAATGGATATAGAGAACTTTTTAAGCAAGAAAATCAAGTGTACTGGACACAAAACTCACATGTTGTTCTACTTGTTGTACTACTTGTTGCTGAAAAGAAAATTGAAGTTTTAAATACAATAATAAACATTTCTAAAACTTAATAATATTACTAGTGGTAGTACTGCTTGTTGAACTCGCCGAAGAAGAAGTTGCTAAAACATTTGATAATATATAGTCCTTACAAATATTATAGTTCATTAAAATCCTACATGTTGTTGACTGTGTAGTAGTAGTGGCTGTTGATGTTGTTGATGTTGTGGTGGCTGTTGATGTTGTGGAGGTTGTTGATTCCGTAGTGGTCGTAGTAGTTGTTGTTGATGTGGTCGACTCTGTAGTAGTAGTAGTAGTTGTCGACGTTGTCGTTTCCGTAGTGGTGGTAGTACCTGTTGTCGAGGTTGTTGACTCTGTAGCAGTGGTAGTGGTTGTTGATGTCGTCGATGTTGTTGACTCTGTGGTAGTAGTGGTGGTCGTGGTAGTAGTAGTGTCTGTTGATGTAGTTGACGTTGTTGACTCTGTCGTGGTGGTGGTAGAAGTGGTGGTTGTTGAT